GCGGCTGCGGACTCGCCTGGGCCGCGGCAGCCCTCCCGCTCGGGGCGCTACGTCCGTCGACGTCTCGAGCAGGAGGTCGGGCGTGGGACGAGGCATCGGCCACCCGCGCGTCCGCGGCTCGTCCTCCCCGTCCCTTGCCACGGCCCTTGGCACTGCCGCCGCCGCTCCGACCCAGGCAGTGCGCCCTGGCCACCTCATCAGCAGCTCCACTGCCGCCAGGCTCCTGGAACAGTGGATTCGCAGCAAGCGACCCTGCTACCGTGCCCAGCGACGGCATAGCACCCACTGTTCGAACCAGAGCCATCAACCATACAACCAGAGTACGTGCCGAGAAGTGCGCAGAGCAACAACGTGTGTGTGCCGAAGGCCGTCCCTCCCTAGGCGGGGACCTGGACCTTGGCACGCTTCTCGGTTCTCCATTCATTGAGCCCTTCGGCCAACTTGCGAACGCTCCCACGAATCGCTGCCTCATCGGCCTCAGGCTGCACCGCGACGCCAGCGCGCCCCAGGAAAGCTCGCAGCTCCTCCAGGTCCGTGTCGTCTGGTGTTGGTACGTCGACTCCCCCAGGCTCAGACCTGGCATCGTCGGGTGGGGCGGCCTCCCGCTGCGGCTCAGTCTTCTCATGCTGTGCTGCCTCGGGTACCGTCCGCCCCTGTCGCTTACGTTCCTCAAGTACCCGCACCTCTTCCAAGGCCGAGTCCAACTTCGCTTGCAATTGACCGTCGTCTCCGAGTCCTGCCAAGATGCCTCCCAGCTTGTCGACCGTGATGCCAAGGGCGGCCACAAGCTCGCCCGCCTCGGTGGCGGACGGTGGAGGCCTCGGCACCGTAGACGCCAGCCTAGTTTGTTCCTCTGCGATCTGCAAGATGGCCTGCTCGGCCTCGACCACCAACTGCTCCTGCTCGCGGATGGTCTCCTGCAGCTTCTGCAACTCCTGCTTGGCAGCTGCCAACAGGCCCTCGTGTTTGACCTTCTTGGAATTCCACTTCGCCGACTGGAATGACAAAGATCGCAGCTGCGCAGGCACTGGCTTGGACGCCTCCAAGTCCACCCGCAGCCGCTTACGCTCCGCCTCATAGTCCTCTCTGGCCTTCTCGAAGCAGGGGTCCTTGAGATCCTTGATAGCCCGCATGGCCTCGTCGATCTCGTCAAGGCGAACTCGGATCTGAGCGGGAGTCTGCGGCGGCAGCTCACCACTCTCCACGTCGACCTCCATTGCGTTGCTCTCTGTCTTCCCACCGGTGGCCAGCTGCTGCCGCGCCGCCGCCAGCTGCTTCTCCAGCTCCGCGAGCTTGCGTGCATGCCATGGCGGCGGCGGCTCGGCAGAGGCCACACGGTCGGCACGCTGCTGCTTCTGCGAAGGCGCCGTGTGCTTGAACCGAGGCTCCAGGAAGGAAGAGGCCTTGGCAACACCACACTTCTGACATGACACTTTGTCCGATCTGTTCCACCAGGCCGCGCCTGACACAGGGTGGACGCACCAGCGGCATACCCAATCCGTCGCCTCCGCACGACGTCTCTGGGCGTGCCTGCTCGTCTTCTGTGCCCGTCCATCACCCTGAGACATCCGCGGCTGCAAAGTGATGTAACAGGTGACTGCTGAGGGGAGCTTACGATCCCGATGTAGCACGTGTAAGAGGTACCTCCAGCCAGGGCAGGCAGAGAGGAGGTACGAAAGCCTTCGGGGGCCGCTGCTCCCCCACGCCAAAATACTCAGTCCTTGAGTGAAACACTACGGACTTGAGCCAAAATGGCTACGGAGGGGGAGGAGGAGGAGGAGGAGGAGGAGGAGGAGGAGGAGGAGGAGGAGGAGGAGGAGGAGGAGGAAGGGGAGGAGGAAGAGGAGGAGGAGGAGGAGGGGGGAAAGGAGGATGAGGAGGGGGATGAGGAGGAAGGAACCTCGCAGCCCACCTCGGCAGTCGGGGTCATGTCGTGAACCTTCGCCCCGACCCCCCTGCGGCTCCACCCGCGGCTGTTGAGGCAAGAGGCGCTGAAAGGCCAACAGATGACGAATCTTCTGTGGCATGCTCACGCCGCGAGGGCGCGGGCGTTGGTTTCTGACAACATCGCGTGGACCAACCACTCTTGAATGTTCGTGGCCTTCCGAGGGTGCAGGCTGCTCCCCGTCGGCTGGATTCTGGACCACTGGCGGCGCCCAACGCTCTAACGCCCGAGCTGGGGTCGCCGCCGTTCGGTTACGCGCCAGAGTGACCCTGGGCAGCAGCGACCTATGGCTCGCGGCTTGAGGAGGAGCGTGGGGGGCCAAATCTAACTGCGCTAGCCAGTGCTGGGGGGGCCCTGTGGGCACGCACCTGAGGTTACCCCGGCGCGCAGACGAGCCGCGTCAACGGCGCGAGACCTCCGCCCCTCCCGGCCATGACGGGGCCATCGGTGGAGCTGAGGAGGAGAAGGAGAAAGAGGACGAGTACAGCGCAAGAGGAGGCGCGACCACATTCGCAAGAAGAGGATGAGGAGGAGGGGAGGAGGAGTAGCAGGATGAGGGCCAGAACAAGGATGACGAGTAACGAGGAGGATGGAGGAGGATGGATGAGGACGAGGAGAAGGAGCAGCAGGAACGACAAGGATCATTGGATGAGGAGGGAGGGAGGAGGGAGGAGGAGTAGGTTCAGTAATAGGATGCGGAGGCCGAGAAGAAGAAGAATAATAATAAGAAGAAGAATAAGAAGAATAATAAGAAAAAGAAGAAGAAGGAGAAGGAAGAGGAGAGCAGGGGAGGATTAATCGGACTCGGGAAAGGAGAGTTCCTCGTCGTCCTCACACATCCTCTTCGTCGCCCTCTCTTCCTCCTCCTTCTCCTGCTCCTGCTCCTGCTCCTGCTCGTCGTCGTCCTTCTCCTCCTCCTCCTCCTCCTCCTCCTCTTCCTCCTCCTCATCCTCCTTATCCTCCTCCCCCTCCTGCTCGCGACACGAGGACTCCCGGCCCTCTCTGGACCACGTGACAGGCCCAAATCGGAGCTCTTGCTCCCAGCAGCTCCGAGATCCGACGCCGGGACAAACATCGCACGACGCCGTGAAGGAGCCAGGCCCGAGCCCAGACCTCCCGGTGCTGTGAAGACGCTACGAAGGACAATCTCTTGGCCACCCTCGCAGGCCTCCGGGACCGTCAAGAGCGCGCCTCGGGATGAGCCGCCGGGCCCGGGGAGACGGTCCAGACATCTAGTGGTCCGCGTTGCGGAAAAATCACGGCGTGAGAGCTCTGGGAGCCAGTGGACGTCCATGCCGACACCAGTATCGAAAACTGGCCAAGCCGACAGCGAAACCGAAGCCGGCCGAGACGGGTGGGCCGAAAGAAGCCTGAAGGGCGCGGCGGCGCAGCCAACCGACCGAACCGAACCGACCGGACGCAGTCGACTGCGGAGCAGCCGAGCCGACCGACTCGCGGATCCACGCACACTCCTCAAGAGCTCTCGACCCCACCTTTGCGGCTCTCCCCAGGCCAGACAGATCCTCGAGGGCACCTGGTGCCCGACTCCAGGCAGCAGCGCCCGTCGCGATGTTCCCAAACCCCCGACGTCATGATTTTTTCATTACGTCGACCTCCCGAAGTCTCGACCTATTCCCCGGAACCAGGTTTTCGTCCCGAGTCGTTTTTGACGGTCCCGAGGCCCAGTAAGGGCCCCCTGAGGCCGAAAACAGCGAAAAACCTCCCCCCGTGAGAAACCTTCCGCCGTGACTTTTTCATTGCTCGAGGGGGTCTGGGTTTCGCAGCGCCCGAGATCTCGGGGAAACATTCCGACTGCAGCAACTCGGGCGCCAGGACATCTAGCCGCGAGCCTCTCCTCAGCTGGGGCCGGCTTTTCATCCCGAGCTCCTCTTCCTTGAGGGCCCCATGGGGCCCGGACACGCCCTGCCTGGTTAGGGCACCGGGAGTTTGGGCATGATGTCCCCAGACCCCCTCGAGCAATAAAAAAATCACGACGGGAGAATTTTCAAAATGTTCGGCCTCTGAGGGCCCTTACCGGACCTCGGGACCGTCAAAAAACGACTCGGGATGACAAAGCGGTACCGGGTAGGGGGTCGAGACCTCGGGGGGTCGACGTCCTGAGAAAATCATGACGTCGGGGGTCTGGGTCGGCTGCGCGCACGAGTGGCCCTGGGCACGGAGTGACCCTTGGTGCGCGGCTTCGGGGGGAGCGCGGGGGAGCCACCCGCGAGCGCGCGCAAGCCGGTGCTATCGCGTCGCATGCAGCGATCGAAATGCCCCAGTGTGCCCGCACCACAGGCCACTCCGGCGAAGGTTCCCTCTCACGTGTGGCCACAGCTCGGGACTCTGGCGGCCGCTCGGGACGACTCGGGCCCCCCTCAACGCTCCGGGTGAGGCGCAGCTGCCTCGGCATGCATGCCGAGGCAGGAAATCCTCCAGCCTCCAGGAGCCGGCGAGAACGTCCGAAACCCGAAAGCGATAGCGCGCGCAATGGGCCGCCCGACGCACGTCTTATCACTTTGTGGGCGTTTTTTTATTCGGCGTTTTGGCTCTGGACCTCTGCTTAGTGCGACTGTTTGCAAGAGTGCGGCCTCTGGGGGGAGACCCAACCCGCTCGAAACAGGCGCCCCCAAAACAGCCAAGATCCACTCCATGGTTTTTTTTTGGGGGGGGGCCCGCCCCGATCGGCAAAACAATGCATAAAAGACGATCACAGCCGATGGTGGACAGTACATGGACATGATATTCGAACCCTGTGGCCCAAGATGCCCCCCAGACCCCCGGAATTAATATTGATGGCGTGGCGACGGGGGGGGCGTGAGTGGACAGAAATATTCGAACCCCAAAGCACCGCATTTACTCAGATCAACATTGATGTCGGGGGCGCGGGGGTGATTTAGAATCTCCCTCAAATGTGTATAAGGTTTTGATCTATGGTCCATGTACGGGAGCTCGGCCGAGGCTCCCACCATCGCCCGCGCCCCTCGCGCCGCCCATCGGGAGCCCTCCGCCCTGCCGCCCTCCCGCGGGCCGCCGCAGAGGAGAGGCCCCCGGCCGGGGTCCTCCTGGCACTCCTCGTCGGAGTCCTCCTCCAGGGCCTCCTGGCCGGGCGCGCGGGGCGAGGATGATGTCTGGGAGTCTTTATCGGCTGTGGGCTGGCGCCCACCAGCTCCTTCCAGGGCTCGAGGGTGCAAGCGCGCCGAACAAGGCGGGGATACAGGCGGGGGTGGGGGGGGGAGGATGGAGCAACATCGAGGTGCGAGCGAGGTTTCGGATGTTCCCCACATGCTGAGTGGGTTTGTGGGTTTCTTTCTCTCCCGCGTCGCGCCCGCGTCTTATTCTCCTGCCCCTCCTCGCCCTTCTCTTGCCTCAGCCTGCTCTTGGCTCCTCCCTAGACGACGACGTACCATGCCTGGTCCTTGCTACACGCGCACCACCAGCACAGACATGTACCCGCTTGCCTCTGTCTCACAAGCACACCCGCAAGACTCTCTCAGGAGCTTCGCATGCGTGGCGTTTCCGCGACACCAGATGGGGCTGCGCAGTGGGTGGTTCCACAACCTCTGCCACGCTCCCAGGGCGTGGCAAGCGCGGCATCTTCTCGACGCCAGAGGGTGTGCGCAAGGGGTGGCCCCCCTCTTCGTGCCACGCTCCCAGGAGGTAGCAAGCATGGCACTCCTTCGATACCCCAAAGGGGTGGTTTCCCTGGCCCCTTGCCGTGCCACGCTCCTGGGGCGGGGCGGGCGGAGCACCTCCTCGACACCAAGAGGGGGTGCGCAGGGGGTGCTTGCCCTGTTCGTCCCACGCTCGCACGGCGTGGCAAGCGGAGCACTTCCTCGACACCAGAAAGTGTGCGCAACGGGGGGTACCCGTACCCGTTCCGCGCTGGCGAGGCGTGATGTGAGCCTTGAAGGAGCAGGGGCGCTTCCTCGCGTGCTCTGGAGGCGTGTTCGTAAGACATCTATGCGCTAAAAAACGGACTAGGTGTGTAGGGTTCTTAGGTGCAGTCAGTAGCCTAGTTTGCCCTCTTCGGGCCTCCAGCGGCCCGCACGAGGATCCAAGAGAGGGGTTCGTGGGCGGGAGACATCTCCAGACCCACGACCACGCAGTCCGTGGATGCAGGGCGTCGCTCGTGAGGGCCCGGGAGGAGGGAAGGAGCCAGATCAAGGCTCAAGACCTTGAGCGTCTTTGGCACTCTGGAGGCCACAGGGAGCTTCTGAAGGCCTCCACAGGGAGCGGTAGGAGGGATCATTTATGGAGGAGGAGGTGGAGGAGGAGGAGGAGGAGGAGGGGGAGGAGGAGGAGGAGGAGGAGGAGGAGGAGGAGGAGGAGGAATAGCAGCAGGAGGAGGAGACGGATGAGGAGGAGGGGGAGGATGACGAGGAGGAGGAGGAGGAGGAGAGGAGGAGGAGGAGGAGGAGGAAAAGGAGAAGTAAGAGGAGGAGGAGGAGGAGGAGAGGAGGAGGAGGAGGAGGAGAAGGAGGATGAGGATGAAATGATGATGATGATGATGATGATGATGATGATGATGATGATGATGATGATGATGATGATGATGATGATGATGATGATGAGAGGAGGAGGAGGAGGAGGAGGAGGAGGAGGAGGAGGAGGAGGAGGAGGAGGACGATGAGGGGTAAAAGCAGAAGAGGTAGAGGGAGGACCAACAGGAGGAGAAAGAGGAAGGGGGGGGCAATGGGAATGGTGCATCGGCGAGCCCGCCGTGCCGCTACGCGGCTGGCCCAAGCAAGGCCCACTCCACGTCTGGGAACGGCGAGAGCTCTGAATCAGGTGGCTTCGGCTCGCGGCCACCGAACTTGCGCGCCCCAGGCGGCCCGCCAGCGGGTCCAGATCCCAGGCCACCCCCAGGGGCACTATATTGGGACCCCCCATCAGCTTCTCGCGCAGCCATTCAATACCGTTCTCGCTTAAACCTCTGGGCCCAGACAAGCCTTTCGGCGCGGCGGCGGAGGGGCGCAGGCGGCGCCTGGGGCGCGAGTGCTGGGTCTTGAAACCGTGCTGGGCCCCGAAGCACCTGCCCGCAAGCCCTCTCCTCGCGGAAACCCTCTGGCCCACAGAGGCCCCGCGCGAATTGCAAAAGAAGAGAGGGGTGAGGCCCTCGGCCCCCCCTCGAACGTCGCACTTGACCGCGAAGTGCCCTCGGAAACGCCACAGCAGCCCCGAGACTTCCACACCGCCACGCCCGCCCCGACGTCGTGGGCCTCGTGCACGGGCGCCGGTGCGGGGACACGATCTCCACTCTTCCAGCCTATACTCTCGCGGGAAGCCAGAACCTCGTCTAAACAATCCCCATCCACAGCGAGTTCTAGATCTAACCCTGAAGCCCCGTCCGTGTCCTAGAGACCACTGTCAAATTGCCAGCTGCGTTGAAGCAGCCAGTCCCGTGGACCAGCTCGCGCGCGCGGGCTTCAAAAATCTTAAGTAAAAGAACGCGCCTCGCTGGGGTCCTCCAGAACCCGCGTTTTTTTTAGCCCGGCGGTCGGCCAGATCAGTGCCTGGCATGTGACTCGTGTCCTGGAAAGACTGGTCCCGGCTAGTTCTGGCGTGGCCTTTGAGCTCTTACCTTTCTGACAATGGCGCCTTCGTCATGTCTCCCCCGCCAAAGCTTTCAGAAGCGCCGGTTGGCACTCGCGGGGGAGAGCGCTTTCCGGGTCAACGGAGCAACCGGCCGACCCCGAACAATCTGGACAAAGAGTGAGCGGCCCGTCCGCCTCTGGCAGCGCGGAAAAACTTCGCCAGCATGTGGAATTCAAAATCTCGGGCGTCTCTGGATCTCTTGCGGCGGGGTTATGCTGCGGGGGCGGCCCTGTGCATGGCGCGGCGGAAGCTGCCATCATCGTCGATGCAGACCGCCGCCCAGCCCGCTCTGCCCAGGCCGCCATGCTATAACTCTCGCAGAATGCTCGGCGCACTGGTCGTCAATGGCGGCCGTGGCTCTCGCGGCCCTGAGAAGCTCCGGCGGGCAGCCCCCCTGTCGACTAGCAAAGGTGCGCGGGCAATCAAAAGCGCGGTGCTAAATTTCGCTCTCTCGCGCAGCCCGCGCAAGGGGCCGTGCGCTTTGCCGGCCTCGAAGGGCCGCTGCTGGCGCCAATGGGTTGACCGACGTGAAAATGTGCTTGTGCCTCTTGCTCCGCGCCTTGGAGCTGGCGCGTTTCAACTCCGCCAGCACTGGGCCCCAATGGACCTCGGAAGCCCGCGGGGCCTCGGTCCAACGGAGAGCCATGACATCCGAAGCTGCGAACGCTGCCTTCATGGCGACCTGGGTCAGAATCCCAAGCCGAAAAAGCTGCAAGTCCACCTCGCGCCCGCGATGGTCGGTGAGGCAGTTAAATCTTAAAAGCTTGCAAGCGACGCGCGCAACCGAGGTTGCCCGAGGACTGCGCTGCTCGCGAGGCCGTCGTCCACTGCCATGGCCCGCGCATTGGCCGCCTCCGCGCTGTGCGCCGCCACGGGGTCGCGGAACTTCACCCTCGACGCGGCCCTCATCTTGAGTCCCGGGATGGCTCCTGGCGCGGAGCGACCCTCCGACCGCGGCGCATGCGCCCTGAGCCCGTTCAACTTGCCGTCGGCGGTGCCCGTGATGGCCGAGGCCCACGCCGACGCGCGCGCGGCGAGCCCCTGTGCAGATGGCAGGTCTTGGCTCCTGCCGACAGCAGCAACTCGATCCTCGAAGCGGCCCGGCTGGCTTTGGCCAGCCTCCTGTTCTGCTAGGGCACCCCGCGGCGGCCGTCGTTGCCGTCGCCGCCCAGACGCCTAGCTTAGCTCGTGTGCCGCTTCAGCCCGAGGTCCTTTCAGCCCTCGTCCAGGCTGGCAGCGAGGTCGACGTTCGTGTCGACCCAGCCTGTCTTGCCGCAGTTGATCTTGGGGCGCCTCGCCTGCAGGCCCCCGACCAGGACCTGGGCCGCTTCTGTCTGATGCTGGGCGACCGAGCGCTTGGGGCCGACCAGCTGAAGGAGGCAGTCGTCCACCTGGCGCTGGGCGCGGAGGGGAACTTGCTGACCACCCGCGTGAAAACGGTGAGCGCGAGAAGCTTGGTCGCACCCACCGCGCGCGAGCACCCGGGCGCCGTCGTGCCAGTGAGCTCGATCGCTGGTCCGATGCCCCGGCTCCACATGGCCCGCCGATTTAGCCTGTAGCTCGAGCGCAATGCCCCAAGGAGGGCCAACGGAAACTTCGATTTGATGGCTTGGCCCCTCAGCTCGTCGCGGCTGATGAGCTCGTGGTACTTCGAGAGGTCCAGGGCCACCGTGCTGTTGACTTGAATTGGTTTTCTCGCGCGCGCCGTCACGTTGTGCGCCGCGCCCTTCTTTTTCGCGAGTGCGTCCAGGCGCGCCGTGAAAAGATCGAATCAATCTTCCTGTCCCATCTAGCCGCAACGGGCTTCCCCAGCTTCGACCGTGCTCTGGTCCAGATGCTGGCCAGGGAGGCAGGGCGGGCGCCCCCGGGTGGGGGCTGCGGCAGGCGCGCCACCAGCGTCATCCAGAGAGCGCACCTGGTGGGGTCCGCTTCCCAGCTGTGGACAATGTCGAGGAAGGTCTGGCGGCGGTGCCTTGGCGGCCAGCGCGGCAGCCCGGGGCGGGGGCGGTCCCGCCCTGGACCAGTTCTTTCGCCGAAAGAGGCCAAGACCTGGTCGAGCTCCTCCAAGGTGATCGGTGAGAGCGGCTCCCGGCGCGCTGTCCCAATACTCCAGGCCAACGGGCCCGCGTCCTGCGCCCTCCTCTCGGGGCGGGCCCGCAGGGCCTCGCAATTTTTTCGGAACTCTCATGGCCTCGCCCCCTGCTGCGGGCAAAGGCTCGCCGCCCTCAGCGTCGCCGTGGCTCTCCAGCGCCGCGGGCGTGACCTCGCCATCTGTGGTGGACTTGAAGGCTGCGCGGCCACCTGCCAGCGAGGCCGCCATCTGGGCCCGCCCCCTATACGGCGCCCCGTGTCTCGCGATCAGCCTGTATCAACTTCCCGAGCCAACCCGGCGTGCTCACGGGGAGGTCGCGGCAGGCGTGGATGGGGCAGCCTCTCGAACGCGTGATCGATAGAAGCGACATCCCATGCCGCGAGCAGCGCTGCCCGCGGCCGCTGGTCACTGGGAATGCGAAATCCCCTCGCAATCCTTATCTGCCTCTCCAGCATGGGGTTTGCGGTCCACTTGCTGTCCTTCAGGTGGCCGCGCAGCTGAGACGCCCTGCGGTGCGCTGCCGCGGGCCCTGCCCGCGCGCGGTAGGGGGGACTTGAGGTGGCCTATATGTTTGAGAAGTGCTCCAACTTCAACAAGGCCTTCTCAACCTTACGCCCGTCAACTCAACCAATGACTCCGCGAACGGTGTCCTCGCAGAGGCGGTTGGGCCAGGCCCGGTAGTTCCCGGCCATGGTGCGCGAAAAGATGGGCGCGTGCTCGACATCCTGCGGCCGCCCCCAATCTCCCACTCCCAGTACTTCTCTACCAGGAGCTCTGGCGCTGGTTCCGTGGGCGGCCTGGGCTGGGGCGGGAACCGACCTGGGTGGGCGGGCTCGGTGATCGTGGCCCTGCCGTGAAAGCCTTTGAGCGTGGGGGGCGATGGGCTCGCCGCCGCGAGTCGTTGCGCGATCAACCCTGCGGGGCAGCGCCTCGGACATGATGGCGAAGTCGTGTTCTTTCTTGCTGTGCGTCGGGGCTCGCGGCCTGACCGCCGCCGCGTTGGCCCGCTTGGCCCGCGGCGCGAAGGCCGGCGGCTCGATGCCCCAGTCCGCCATGATGATCCGCGGCCAGGGCAGGCCCCCGACCCGCGGCACTAACGCCCCCAGGCACTTCATGCACTTTTATGTTCGCCCAGGCCGCGCGAATGCTGTCCTCCATGGGCGCGGATGGCACGTGCAGCGGGGGGCCGAGACCTGTTGGCGCGGGTGGCCTGACCGCGACGCCTGGACAGTGCTCGACCTCCCCGTGGTCTGGTCCTCTGGGTCGAGTTGAGTGCCGGCAGTCCAGAGCGCGATTTCACGCCCCCTAGAGCTGTCGGGCGGCCCCGCCCCCGTCGCAGCGGCCAGCCCTGCGCGCGGCGCGTGGCCCACTTTCCCAGCCCACTTGCGTGCAGAGGCGATGCGGCTCTGCTACTTCACGCGGTTTTCTTGGAAGCGGAGGATGTCGGGGCGGGCCTTCTCGCTTCCGAGCCGCTCGATCGGGCGCTGGTCTGTCGCCCAGCTGTCCGCGTTGGCCGCGGCGATCTCGAACTCCTCCACCGGGCTCCTGGGCCGGCCGGCTTTGGCAGCACCAGCCAGCGCCTCCTTCGCGGCTGTCAGCATCGCCACCAGCGCGCGCAGGAGAGCCCGGTGCTGCGCCACCCCCGCTCGGCAACTGGCTGTCGGCGCAAGCGCCGCCAGCCGGCCGCCCCTTAGAAATTGCTCCAAGTCCATTGGAAATACGCATCCCGCTGGATGTAGCTGCATCGCCTTTGGATAATTATAGCCGCCCCGCCTGCGCCGTTGGAATGCCCATCCCGCTGGGCGAGACTGCAGCCCCACCTGCAGCAGCCGAGCGCGAGCTCGGGCTTCGTCGAGCGACCCCGCCCAGCGGGGTCCCGCGCGGCAGGCAGACAGAGCACGCCGATAATTTTTTGTTTCCGCTGGGCAGTCTCCGCCTTCTCATGGCCCACCCAGGTCCGCAGCGTCAGCGGGGAAACCGAGGTACCTGGCTCTTGGAAATACCGATCCCGCTGAAGGCGGCCTTCTCAGGGCTCACTCAAGTTTGCAGCGTTGACGGCGATGCCGAATTACCAGGGCGCGCCTCCTCCATAGCCCGCGAACTCGGCGCGCCCATTGGGGGCCTTAACTGGCTGCCAACCTTGCGCTGCGACTCGCCATCTCTGATTGATCCTGACCTAGGTTCCACAGCACTGCGTTGTTTTTGATGTTGTTGTGTTTTTTAGTGGTTGGGTAATTTTGTTTGAGATCACTGCCGACAAAACACATTAGACGCGGCCAGCACGACCCCCCTTGTGGTTCCGTTCCCCTCCAGGGAAAACAGCTAGGCAAAAAAACAGTCAGCGTGTCATCAAACCCGCTGCCGCTTCGACTTGGTGAAGACTTCGGCCAGGCGCTTGGGCTTGGCCCTGCCTTCCTCGACCTCCAGGTTGAAAGTTGGCTTGCCTCCTCCCGTATCCTCCATCGCAGCGGTGGCTCCCTTGAGCAGGTCTTCGTCGAGCTCGAAGTGCGGCTCCTGGGTGTCGATTGCCATGGTTTCTCCTGGGCCTGGCTGACCCGGCTGAAGAAGAGGAACAACGCCAGCTCCAGGAGCAGCGACCGCCTTGGTGTCGCGCGCCTGCATGGACCCTGCCAACAAGGTGTCGGTGGCTGCGTTGAGCTGTTCCATACCGTGCTCCTTCGCGACGATCGGCAACATTTTGCTGAAGGCGTCGAAGCCTGCCGCACCGATGGTAGCGTCGTCCGCCCCCACTTCTGCAGCGTTGCCTCGACATTCTTCGACCTCGCCAGCTCGTCCAGCTTCGCGAGGCGTTCCCCATGCTCCCGCAGCTGGCGCAACTCCTCGTCGTATGCCTCCTGGGCCTTAGCGAGGAGCTCAACTTTCCCCTGGACCCTGGTCTTGCACTTGTCAACCTGCCGTGCCTTGTCCACTCGCCGCTGCAGAAGCTGAGCCGACGTCTTGGTAGACGGATCCACCTTTGCCTCCACTGCTGGCACTGGCTTGGCAATGGCAAGCTGCCCTTCGAGAAGCTGCGTCTTCCCTCCACGGAGAGCAGGAGGAGAAACACGAGGCCAAGAGGATACATGAATCTCTCAGCAATGAACCCAAAATGCTGAAACGACATCCGGCCCCGCTGGGCAGTGAACGCGGTGGTGCGGGGGGGCCCGCGAACACAAAAGCATGCCGCCATCATGCTACAGCGCGGTTGGATCACAAGGTTGTGTGGTAGTGTGAGGGGGGGGCGGAGGGAGCAGGGCTGGCGATTGAACTTGGAGGGGCAGAGGAGCAGGGATGGGGAGGGAGCAGGACAAGGAAAGGAACAAAAAGGGAGCAGGACGAGCGAGGGCGAGGGATGACGGGCGACTGAGGATGTGCGGTAAAGATGCAAGACCCTTGGTCACCCAAGCTGAAGCCGAAGCTGGAAACCTATGGCCCGTGGCAAGGATTGGGCGCGAGGCTAGGGTCCAAGGTACCTTTGGAAAGTGTTAGCCCTCATGATGCGGTTTGGCTGTGCCATAGGGAACACCAGCTACGAATGTTTTTTTTTTTTTTTTTTTGTGTGTTGTTTTTGTTTTTCTCCGGCCTCGGCGAGCCTCGGCCACGAACAAAATCTCCGACCTAGGCCCCAGCAGCTTGCCACGAACAAGTTCCTCGACCTGGACTTACAGGGCGGCCCGAACACCAGAGCCCCCTCCTGAACCCCTAAGATGTCCTCATTCAGGCGTCTTTGTTGCGAGTGGCCCTATGCGGAGGCGACCGTTGGTGCGCGACCGACCGTTGCATGCGACGCGACAGTAGCGGCAGAGGGAGGCAGCAGAGGAGGAGGAGGCGAGGGGCGAGGATGAGAAGGAGGGCGAAGAGGAAGAGGAAATCAGGAGGAGAAGGGAGGCGGAAAGAACAGGAGGAAGACGAACGAGGCTCCCAAGTGCTACCAAACTGAACTGCGCCTCCAACGCCCTGATCGAAGGGTCGCAAGCGGGCCAATTGAAACAACGATGGCTCTCCCGCCCAACCCGACTCCGCCCAAACTCGGCTCCCGGACCCTTCACTGGGCCCATCCTGACCTGATTCTCGAGGTGAGTGACGACGGGAAGCTTCCAGGAGGCTCGTCAAACGACGAAGCATGCGTGGCGAGGGCCACCGTTGTCTCGAGTGGCCCTCCTCCGCTTCGAGGAAGAGGAAGGCGAGGAGGAGGTTGAGGAGGACCAATGTAAATTCAAGAGTCGTCAACAAAATTGCCAAGGAACCCTCCCTCCAAGTTCCCTCTTCGTAAACCCCTACCAGGATTCGTTGTCACTGAGGGAAATGCCCCGTTGGAAGACAACCGCTTGAAAACCGGAGCTACGCCATAACACCATTCCTGGGACTTCGGCGCCACGAATCACCGTTACTGTTGCGTTTTGACGATCCGGAATCGTACCAAAATACCTTGCGCCGTGACGTTCCGACACCGTACCCAAACATGATTTCTGGGACGAAGCCATGCAACGCCTTGAAACGGTTGTGAGCTCTGAATACTAATGTGCATGGCGATGTAGGGCGAAAACCACATAACAAACTTCCCATTAATCCGTGACTTTTTTCCGATCATTAGTGCCGAACGTGCGCAACGCTATGGCGAGAACGACGTTTTGAAAAGGAGCCGCCCCTCACCCGTAAAACTCATGCAAACTTAAAGAAACGATATGTGCGGCGCTAACGCAAGAGCCACCTTCTTAAAGAGAGCCGCCCTCCATCCACCAAATTCTTCCAATTGTTTTTTAAAAGAATGCCTGCAGTGCTAATGCGAAAACCACATTTTGAAAGCGACCCGCCCTCCATCCGTGAAGCTCGTGCAAACCGTCAACGTAACGATCATGAGACGTGAAGAAGTATCAAGAGAAACGCCCGGCCCGCCCTACCAACGCGCCTCGGGTTGCGGCAAATAGGATTTCTTTATAAGGAAAGAGGCACGGAAGAGGACGACGACGAGGGCTCCGGCGGCGTCCTGAACGACCGTGACGGCGCCACCGCCGTGGTCGGGCCGCAGGTGCTTGATGAGGAGGCCTGCCGTCTCCTCGCAGCCGCCAGGGGACACGGGGGCGCTTGGTGCGGCAAAGCCGGGCCCAAGAAGTGATCGCAGGCCGGGGCCCGGGGTGCTGAGACCACCTAACACCTCCGAGCCAATGGGGGCTGAGGGAGGCAGGGAGGGGGCCAGAAGGGGTCTACGAGACGAGACCGCCGGGAACATGCCTCGGTGCCCAAAACTAGACCTGTGTTCGACCTTTCTTGGCAACGCGCTGCGCCCACCGAGCCAACACCTGCAGACAGCACGTCAAGCCTGTGCATCGGAGTCGGTCGTCGCCATGACCTTCATTTCCACCGTCTGTTTCCGAACACGCACAGTCGAGCCGCCGCCTCCTTGTACTCATCACGCGCACGTGCGCGGCCGTGGCCTCCACAGCTCGCAAGCACAGACGGCTCCCAGTGGCCAAGCTAATGCAGAATGGTGTTGCACGAGTCGTGTTGCGATGCCCGTTCGTCTGTTGCACGCGTATGGAAGTAACAGTCGCCCACCACTTATGCCGGCTTGAACGGCGCATTAATCATGAACGCATGAATCTTCCATTCGATGCGAAACACGGTCGAATGGGAATACTGCGTTACTTATCTGAGGAGTACCAACCAACGTGCGGCGTACGGCTCGTCGCTTTGATGTTCAGAAGTGTTCGCAGGCTGTTCGTCTTGATGACCGCTTTTCGCACTTCATTTTGCTGTTAGCGCCGCCTTCTCGTTGCGGCCAGGGTACTCTTGTATTATCAACGTTGTTATTTTCATTGCGACGCTAAAACCCAACGCACATAACCACGGATGACTCGATGGGGGATCACTCAAGGTTGTGAGGCACGCGCTGGTACCAACATGCATGAGCCAACATGTTACTCGAGTCGATTAATGTGTCACTGGAGCTATGGTTCGATGGGACAATTAGGGAGGAAAAGGCAAGGAGACGACAGGACGACTCCAACATTCGGCTACAAGAGGGACTGGTGAGCAGGCTGAATCAGACCTCAGATGTAGAAACAGAAAAATGCAATACACATAAACTTGTGGCGCTCCGCGCAGATTTCATGGATCTGCGCCGGACCCCCCTCCCTGGCGCGCGGAGCGCGCCAGGGGCGGCGCTGGAGGCGCCGCCAGCGGGGCCCGGCGCAGATCCAAGAAATCCGCGCGGAGCGTCGAAAGTTTGCGTTTATAGCGTTTTTTCTTCTTCGAAGATAGACAGGTCGATGAACAGCGCGTTCACAAAAAAAGTTGGAACATGCTTTGATGCACGTTTCGGCAGCAATGCTCCCATGGACACCGAGCACTCGATGCTGTGAGGCCCGTGGCTAGAGCAGTCAAGAGGGAGTGCGAGAGAAGACAGGAGCCAAGGGAGCAGGGAGGGAAGAGGAATTGGCTGCTCATTCTGGGGACCTTCCTGAAGCCACTCGCTCCACTCGTGCTTGGACAGCTGAAAAGAACGTCCGTCGATTCGAGTCGACCTTGAGTCGAATCTGAGTCGAACATGAATCGAATTTGAGTCGATCTTGAGGCGAACTGGGGTTGAACTAGAGTCGAACAGATCCGTTCGGTTGGCCCCAGGAAGGTCCCCAAAATGAGCATCTAAGAGGAAGGACTAGGAGATGAGAATGAGGACGTGGACGACGACAAGCAACGACGGCGTCTCCTGCGCCATCGACTTGGCTTCTCGCACGCGGTAGCGCAACTCGTGCTTGTCGTCGAACTCCCAATGCAACACCTCGTCGCGGTTGGGTGCCGGGTGCGCCGCACACCCCGCGATCACATTTTCGTTCATCCACGTCGGATTGCGCCCTTCTCTCCCTCTTTTCCTCCTAGTCCTCCTTGCCCTGCTCCCGCACCTTTTGGCCCCCTTTCTCGCCTTCCTTCTCTCTTCTCGCCCCGCAACCACGCATCCAACCGTGCGACCATCGAACGCCTCCGAGGGCAGAAGGAGGAGGAGGTGGAGGAGGAGGAGGAGGAGAAGGTGGAGAAAGACGAGGAAGAGAAGGATGAAGTGTGACTTGCTGCCCGTTTGGGATATATTCGCATGGTTTCTGCAGAATCCATCCACGCCGGACTGGCTACAACCTCGGCACGACCACGCGCTGGTTGCATGGGAGATCCATGGGGTCGTTGTGACAAGCCTCGTTTTGTAGTGTGCTACCCGCGAAAAGTTCGAGATCTCGGTAGGGTCGGAAATCGCCTAGCGGGTGACTCATGCCACCTGCATGGCGTGAATGACAGCCTTTGCTTCGCCAACCCGCCTATTTCCCGAAGGGGCACGCTGGCAGGTGCATCCGTGACGTTGCACTGCGATTGTAGTTCTTCCTTCTTGCTTCAACTCGCAAGGGGTTGGGATTCCCGCGCCGGCGCAGCACGCGGCTGGGAAGTTGCAGCGGAGGCTGCTCACAGATCGCCTGGTCTTTGAAGGGGCCCCAGGACACACAAATACATACACACAAATAAAACAAATCCCAATATTTTCCCGTATTTTCTGGGTTGCTGTCTTCCCCCCACTTCCCATTTTTTCCCATATTTCCTGGGGGTCGACGATTAATTGTGTCTGTGTGTGTTTTTTTTTTCCCTCCTGAGTCTTGCCAGACCCACCACACGAGTACAGCACGCATATTGATTCATATCTAGTCTCCCTTACTGAAGGATCCCAGGACCGTGGCTGCCTCTCGAGTGGCTCTGGTCATCTTGACATGTTGTCTGAGATGAGGAGGGAGGGAGGCAGGGAGGGAGGGAGGGAGGGAGGAGGAGGAGGAGGAGGAGGAGGAGGAGGAGGATCAAGAGAACAAAGACGTGGAAACGAAGGGGGAGGAGGAACATTAGGAGGACGAGGAGACGGAGGGAGGAGGAGGAGGAAGGAGGACTGACAAGATGGGAAGAAGGCAGGAACACTCGATATCGCATCGAGACATCGGATCATATCGGAACGTGCGTCGGATTGGGGTGCATCGGCACGGCATCGAAATCAAATCGAATCGGCTGTGCCAATATGCACAACATCGGGCCGCATCGGATCGTCGGAATCGAATCGGATCGAGCCGGCCGCAGTCAACATCGAATCGGATCGATCGGATCGACATCGACACTGGAAGGCTGTCCTTCCCTTTGCCTCAGCGCGGCGCCTTGGTGTGGAACTGGATGACGGTGGGGCGGTGCGCCACGCTCAGTATGCCCATGCCCCGGTTGCAGCACGCCCGGTACACGGTCTCCTCTCCAGGACAGGCGGGGGAGAAAGACGGACACGGGAACGACGTGGCTGGGCATCGCTCGGACGTCCACTCCCTGTGCTTTTTTTTCGGTTTCGTGCGTGGTTTTTTCGCCAAATCATCAAGGATGCTCCTCGATGGTCCTCGCCGACGGAAACATGCACGCGTCCGAGCGATGCCAAGGTGGAGGGCGTGCACGGGAGCCTGCCAGCGGGGGACGCAATGCCCCTCTCCCCAGCACCTGCGCCGCTGGGTGGGGCCACTGTGGGGAGTCCCGGGGCGCGGCCGCCGCTCCCCGCCGCCACGCCTGCTTGCAGGAGCCCTCCTGCCCGAGCCACCGCTTTCGGGGGGCGGGGGGCGTGCAGCTCGGGGCAGAAGCCGCTGCGGCTGCTGGCCATCGGCTGTCTGCCCTGCCCTGCTGTGGCTGCATCGGAGCCAAGCTGCTACCAGGAGGACTGCCAAGTCCACCGCCGTGCCTCGCGGCACGAAGTGGAGTCTCCTGAGATCCCTTCAGGAGTCCCCTGCGTCGAACATTGTAGTACTCTTTCGGGGGCCCGCAGCGCGGAGTTCTGGGCGCTCTCGGGCGCTCTTGGGGCTTCCCGCGTGTTGTCGCGTGACTTTCCTGGCGGCAGGAGAGCTCCCAAACTGGCCAAGTGGGCCACAAACGGACCCCAAGACGGTCCAAGAAGGCCCTGAGACGGCCTACGAGCGCTCCGCGACGCCCAAGGTGGCCCCAATACGGCCCAAGGGGCCCCCAAGAGGCCCTCCGAGTTGGCTCCACGAGGCCCCCCAAGATGGCCAAGAGGGCTCCACCAGGTAAAAATAATTGATTGTCCTCGGGTGTTTGAAACAATGATGACTGTATGACTGCGACTTGGACGGCTTTGCTCCTGTAAGTCCCCCCGAAGAACACACATTAGACACGGGAGTGCTCATACCGCAGATGTAGAACACACATAGTTTCGATCCGTCGCGGGAACATGACATCGCACGCGCCACCCTCGCTCCCGAGACGGAGTACTTGATGATGCTGCTGCTGATGATGATGACGATGATGATGCTGATGATGCTACTGATGATGCTGAGGATGCTGATGATGCTATTTCTGATGATGGTGATGATGCTGATACTGATGCTGATGCTGATGCCAATGCTGATGCTGGTGTTGATGCTGCTGATGACGACGATGAGGATGACGATGATGGCGATGCGGCTGCTGCTGCTGATGATGCTGATGATGAAGATGACGAGCTGAACGGCGGAGGGGGATGACAGGGGACGAACATGGCATTCAGCGCAGAAGCTTCACGCACAGCTTCCTGTAGCAAGCCAGTGGCTGGGGCATTGGGGAGTGCCACCACTCCGCAGCGCAACGCAACCACCCCCCAAAGGCCCACCAATTAGGGAATGGGCTGAGGAGGAGGAGGAGGAGGAGGAGGAGACGGATGAGTAGGAGAAGGAGGAGGAGGAGAAGGAGGAGGAGGAGGAGACGGAGACGGAGGAGGAGGAGGAAGATGAGGAGGAAGATGAGCGCACGTACCCTCAATGAGGAGGAAGATGAGGAGGAGGAGGATGGCGGATCGAAGGCGCAGACAGATGAGGGTCCGCCCCCTCCGTTCGTGATGCGGGTGCCTGGGCATCTTGACACTTTTTGTCTCAAGGCCGGCTTTTATCCTGAATCGTTTTGCTGACGGTCCTGGCGAAGGCATAAAAACACAACACACCTCAGCCACGATTATTTTGACGCCTGGACCCTGGTCCGTCCACGGAGATACCACAATAAAATATCGACCCGCAAACAGCCCAGAAGGGCACGGTGACGCAGCAGCGGCACAGCAGCCGACCAAACCGAACCGACCGAAGGCAGCAGAGTGCGACGCAGCCGTACCGACCGAACTGCCGACACGTTTCTGATCTGAGGGGAGGGGGTGGGATGGACCAGGAGGGGGAGGAGGAGCGCGTCCTCCGACGTGGTGTCCATGGACGCCGACGACTCATCGAGGATCGCGAAAAAGCCCTGGGTGCCGTCGCCGTGCTTCCTCAGCCCGAGGCGGCGGCAGGCAGAAGACATAATCGAGCAGGCATGCCGCCGTTGGCGTAAAAAGCGCCCGCCAAGCGTCACGGACCACGCCGATGTGCTCATCCCTCCCCCCCCTGGGCCGCACATTTCAATGTTGAAGCTGGGCGTGCCTTGGCCGTTGCATTCCTGGGTCGCCCAACTTCGCACATCACGCCCCGCCATGCGCGACTGCCTTCGCGCGTTGCCCCCCCACCCCCGCCCTCGAAGAAGGGCGACCGCCCTGACCAGGACCGTGGCGCGCGAAGCGCGATGACCTTCGCGCCCCCCCCCGCGGGTGCTCTCGGGTTCTCTGGAGGCCTCCCAGATGGGGTCGGTGTGAGGTCGAAGGATCGCGCCGCATCGCCAATGCATCGACGATACTTTATCGGCGGTGCATCGGCGGTGCAACGGCGACGTCAGCGATTCATCGCGAAGTCGGCGTGTGGAAATACGGGCTCCACATCGAGCCGCATCGCCGATGCATCGGCGATGCGGCGCGATCCTCCGACCCCATCTGCTCGGACCCCACCTGGGAGGCCTAGATTTAGGTCGGGCGTGTCCCCCTACAGGGGGGGGTTTGGACGAACAATAAACAATGGTCAAAGAACGGTCAGCAATGGCCAAGAAGAGTCAACAATTGTTTCAGATTTTTGACTACTTTTAAACCTTCCTCCTGTAGATGGGGCGCGCCCGACTGACGGGCCTAGACTTTGGGCGCTTCTCTCTCTCTTGCGCCGAGGCCTGTGCTCTGACAGCCGCCGCAGCAGCAAACGGCAACACCGGCACGGGGGGCCCTGCGCCGGCCTCGCGCCGTGCCGACCTTCCCGGACGGGCGCGGTCACGTCGACGGCGCAGGTCCCCGAGTCGTGGGCATCGTATGCTTAGGTCGGGCATGTCCTCCTGCAGGCGGATTCTGGACGAACGATAGAAAATAGCCAAACCATGCTGAAACATAGCCCAAAATGATACCAACATCGTCCCCAGACTACTTTACAGTTTTTGGACTTTTCGCCCTGTAGAGGGACGTGCCCGACTTATTCGTATGCCAAGCCCTGGCGGCCGTCAAGCATGGCCCCGGTGTGAGAAGCCCGTGGGGAAAGGGTCGAGACCGCCAGGGGTCCAAGAATTGAGCAGGGGTCGACCGTCCCGGCATTCTTATAGTCCTACCACGACATGTTCTTAGAACCCAGAAGTGTTCGAACAACAAAAACCAAGTTCTTAGAACATAAGCCCGATGTGTTAAGACAAACCAGTCTCACCCAGAAATGTTCTAGGGACATCTCGTGCAGATCACGAACAGGTTCATAGAACATTCTCTGGTGGGCCTGTGGGCATGCCAGGACGCTTCGCCACTGCTCGAAAGCAGCGAAACAATAATGACTCGGGCGTCTGGGCCGGGCAGAGGTTACTGCCCACGAGAGACGAGCACGCTGTCCACATCCATGCCCTCTCGCGGTCTGGACTCCACACCGAAGCGCGCCGCTTCATGGACAGGCGATACGCCCGCCCACGAAATCGGGATCTCTGAGATAAAAGGGGCCCAAGGACACACGAATGAACAGACACAAATCCAAGGATCCCCCATATTTCCTTATATTTTCAGGGTGTTCGTCTTCCCCCCACTTCCCATATTTTTCCATACTTTCCTGGGAGTCGACGATCAATTGTGTCTGTGTGCGGCGACGACGGCCACATGGCGGCAAGAGCATCCCGCAGGCCCAGGCGATGGGCGGCGACGGCAGCCACATAGCGACCAGAGCGGCCCGCAGGCCCAGGCGACGGGCGGCGACGGGCGGCGACGAGGCGGCGGCGGCGGTGGCCAAATGGTGGGCCAGAGCGGCCCGCAGGCTCAGTTCCGTAGAAGACAAGTAAGAAACCCTAAGAGCAAGCACTGATTGGGGAGTAGACATAAACTTTCAGAGCTGCGCGCGGATTTCTCGGATCTGATCTGGACCCCCCTCCCTGGCGCGCGGAGCGCGCCGGGGGCGGCGCCGGAGCCGCTAGGGGGGTGCCAGCGTGGATCCGAGAAGTCCGCGCGGAGCTCCGAAAGGCTATGCTCATGACGTTTTCTCTTCTTCGACAGCTGCTGTGCATCTTCGTCCCCGTCCTCTCCGTACCCATTCCGGTCGTGTCGAGCCGTATCGCGCTGACTGCGCGTGCCGGCGCGGTCCGCGCCGAGCTGTGCCGATCCGTGCCGAGCTGTGCCGGCAGCCCGCGCGGCCCGCGATCGGCGCGGCCGACACCGCCGGCGGACATCCGCGTACGCCCAGGTCGTGGCGGCGCGCAGAAGCCGACGGCAACGGCGTCGACGCCGCCGTCTCGGGTGCCTCTCGGGCGCTTCGGGCGGTCCTCGCCGCCACGGCCGGGCGCGGCTCGGGAAGCAGGGCGGACCGGGCGAGGGGTGCTGGCCTTTGGAAAGAAGTTGTGGGGGCCTCTCAGAAGGGATCGGGGGCTCCTGGGGCAGCCTCCTGGTGAGTCAGGGAGGCTGCTCAAGACGCCTTCCCACGAAGCCCTCTCGTTGCCTTCTCAGAGAAGGCCGACGCACCTGCTGCGCCACCGCCTGCCGTGCGACATTCCGACCTACGTCGTTGAGGGCTTAGCGACTTCTGCTGTCCCTCGCCTCGCGCCGGAGCCCCCATCATCTGTCCACAAGCCTGCCCGGACATCTCTGGCTATCTGGCCGTGCCTCGCCTTCTCTGGGCTCACCTCGCCTTCTCCGGCTTGCTCCCCGCAGGCCGATTGGAGAGGAGTCGCCATGCCCCCAGGGGCTGCAGGCGCCCGGCCTCGCACAGCCCGCGCGCCGCCAGGCTGCATGCGGCGGCGCGGCCGGACCCACGCTCTGGCGCCGCCCCCCCCCACTTCTCCAGCTGCTCCTCCTGCTGCTGCTGCTGCTGCTGCTCCTCCTCCTCCTTCTCCTCCTCCTCGTCCTCCTCCTTCTCCTTCTCCTCCTTCTCCTTCTCCTTCTCCTTCTCCTATTCGTCCTCCTCCTCCTCCTCCTCCTCCTCCTCCTCCTCCTCCTCCTCCTCCTCCTCCTCCTCTTCCTCCCGCTCCCAGTGTCCGGCCCAGGCCGAGGCCGCAGAGCGCCGCGCCGCCCCCGCGCCCCCCCCCCCCCCGCGCCGCGGGGGGGACCCCGAGGCGCTGAGCGTCGCGTCCTCACCCACTCGTGGTGGTAGAAGAGCCGGCAGAACTGCAGGCGCTGCTGCTCCCCAAGGCTCAGCACGTCGGCCCACGAGATGCCGGCGTCGTCGAGCTTCTCCCTGGCGCGGCGGAGGGCGGGGTGCGCCGCCCTCCCTGGGCGGGGTGCTGAAGGGGGGGGGGCCTCTGGGAGCAGGCCGGCAGGCACCGGCCGGGGGAGGGGGAGAGGAAGCAGCCCAGCACGTCCGGGAGGGGGAGCGGCTGTGCTTCGTTCCAGCCGTGCGGAGCACGAGGGTGGAGGTGGACCCGGGCAGGAGGAGCCGACTCCACCACTCTTCATCGCGTGCAGCTCACCGCGCCTAGAGCATCGACGCAACACTCGGGCCGTGCGACTTGTGGGATATGGGCAGGTTGAGCGGAGGTTTCGGGGGAGCCGGGGGACCAATGTACGTCCTCATCGATCTCAAAGGCAGTTGACGGTGATACCTGCTCACGACTTTCAATATAGTCAATTCGCCTGCCTAGTAATCTACACACACACGCGATAGACCCGCAACTCGTCAATCCAGCCGCTGTTTAGCCCCAGCGATCTACACTTCTCCACGTAGCAGCATCGTACATCTTGCCACACTGTGCAATTCGGCGCACTAGCCGCGCTTTGCTGCCTGAGGGTTTTAGGGTGGGAGGAGGTTTGTGATGTGCGGTGGACGGGCATGGTGGTGAGGGTGAGTTCACATGCGGCCTCACTGGCCTCAGTGGTAACAACTGGCGATGTTTGCCCATGATCTTGTAGTCTTTATTTAAGCCAGCCCAACTAGCAACTCGCCAATCCAGAGCAACTCAGTACAATACCCAACGATATACTTTACCATCTCAGCACTGTGCAGCATACCGCGCTTCGAGTTTGAACCCAACATTGGTGTTCTGATATTTGAGGGTTGTGCTGTACGACTTGCCATGCCCCCCAGCCCCGACGGTCGGCAGACGCATCCCGAAACTCCTCCTGCTCCTCCTCCTCCTCCTCCACCTCCTCCTCCTCCATGCTGCAGCAGAGCTCCCGTCTGAGCCCGCCCAGTGTCTGAGTCCATTCGGCGGACCGTGGGCCCGCACTCAACATGGTTACGAAAAGAGGAAAGCGAGAAACTTAAACGTTTGGGGGTCCGAGTGGATTTGTGTGATCGGCGCTTGCCCCCCCCCCCTGGCGCGCAGCGCGCCAAGGGCGGCGCTGGATGCCCTCCGCGGGGCGCTAGGGAGGCGCGCCAGGGTCCAACGCCTATCAGAGAAGTCCGCGTGGGCTGCCGAAGTTAGTGCTCCCTCCTCCCCCTCCTACCTATGGTAGTGGTGGTGCAACATCGGCCCATCGATCCCTGCCGCTTCTTCTTCTTCTTCTTCTTCTTCTTTGAACAGTGTTGGCAACCAGGAACGTTCGGCAGCTGGGCGGACCTGGCTCTGGGTCCACCTGGCCACCGAGCGGGCTCGGAAGCCGAAAAGGGGGCGCTGCCGGGTGCACCGGGAGACGCGGCCGGCAGAGGTAGAGACCCGGGGGGCCTGTGCGCGCCCCAAGCGTCGGACAAGTTGGCCTCCTGGAAGAAACTCTCCATGAGGTCGTCGGTCAGCTCGTCGAGCATCGTGTCGCTCCACTCCGGGTACGCAACCTCTTCGGGAGGGGAGGGGTAGGAATGCACAAATCTGTACACATAACTTGACCGGCTCGCTTCCCTTCGCCTCTGCCATCTTGGTCACATGGCGCCAGAGAAGCGCGCCGCGACCACTGGTGCCACTCTGCGCTGCGGCCTCTTGGCGCATGGGCCTCGCTGGGCGTGTAGACTCCTCATTGCGATGGGTGATGGGATTGGCTGCTCCCGTGTGCAGGTTCTCTGGTTAGGGCTTGTAGCGCTCAGGAGACTCTTAATTTGCGGGAGGCTCCTCACGTGGGTCGTCGGGCTCTTAGGCTCGTGTGGCTCGTAGGGCCTCCTGCACCTATGGCTCATAGGGCTCACGAGGCTTCGGGCGCACATGGCTCATAGGGCTCATGGGCGTCATAGGGCATGTCGCGAGGCTTCCTGTGGCCCATGGTGATCATGGGGCTTTGGGTGCAGTGGGCTCCTAGGGCTCATACGGCTCACGGGCCTTTGGCCGCATATAGCTCACAGGGTTCATAGTGAGGGTTCGCGTGGCTCATGAGGCCATGCGCGCACATGGCTCATAGGGCTATGGTCGCATCTGGCTCATAGGGCGCGAAGGGCTTGTCGGGCTCATAGGGCTCGTAGGGCATCGTAGGGCTCGCAGGGCTTATAGGGCTCGCTCCTGGGGGTTAGAGCGCCCGTAGGGCTCGCAGGGCTGTTCGAAGGCTCGTGTGGCTGAAAGGTGTGTAATGCGTAGTGCTCACATGTATCATGAGGCTCGTCGGGGTCATAGGGCTTCTCGGGCTCGCAGGTGTCACTGGGATCATGGGAGACCATTTGCGCTCATGGGGCTCTCAAGTCTCGTAGGGCCCTTGCGGCTCACAGAGTTTCGGGGAGGTCATGTGGCTCATAGGGCTCTGGGGAGTCGGCGGCTCGTGAGGCTCATATGGCTCGTAGGGTCGTCGATGCATGTGTCAGAAAGCTCATAAGGCACGTAGGGCTCATGGGGCTATGGGCGCATCTGGCTCGTAGGGCATCCTGGGCTTGTATGGCTCATCGTGGGGGTCCTCAGGCTTACAGGGCTCATGGGGCTTCGGGTGCATATGGCTCATGGGGTCTGCCTTGGGCGCATATGGCTCATAGGGCTCATGGGGCCGTGGGCGTTTATGGCGCTCATATGGCTCATAGGGCTCGAAAGGCTCACGTGGGTCACAGGGCTTCTAGGGCTCGTAGGTGTTAAAGGGGCTCATGGGAGCTCGCCGCGGTGCGCATGGGGCTCATAAAGCTTGCAGGGCTCATGGGGCTTTGGGTGCATATGGCTCATAAGGCTCGCGGGGCTCACAGGGCTCGTGGTGCTCATGTGGCTCACAGGGATCGTAGGGATCATGGAGGCCATAGTTCTAGTAGGGCTTGTAGAAATCGTAGGGCTCATGGGGCTTGCGGGGTCATAGGGCTCGTAAGGCTAAGAGGCCTCGCGGGCTCACGGGGCTCGTGGGGCCCACAGGGCTTGCAGGGCTCGTGTGGCTCACAGGGTCCATGGGGGCCATAGTTCTGGTAGGGCTTGTAGGGCTCATAGGGCTTACGGGGCTCGCGGCGTTCACAAGGCTCGTGGGCCTCGCAAGGCTCAGGGGGCTCGTAGGGCATCGTAGGGCTCGCGGGGCTCGTGGGCTCATGGGCACGTGGGGCGTCAGAGCGCCCGTAGGGCTCGTGGGGCTTGTCAGACAGATCGTTAATGAGTCAGCGAATCTCGCGTCCAGTCTGCGACGCCTCCACCCGAAGCCGCCGCCGCCAACCCACTCTCCGCCCCACACTAGTTTTTGATGCCGTTATGGGGCCTCTTAGGGGGTCCCTTGGTGCTTCTTTAGGCGTCTTGGGGGCCTCGGCTTTCGGTTCGCGTTCCCCCCCATCCCTACCCTTTGGCCCTCTTAGTGCCCTCTTGGGCCGTTTTGGGCGCCTCTTGGGGCAATCACCGAATGACCGCCCCATGTTTGCCTCTTGCACGGGTATGCTCGCACCCGTCCTTTCGCCTAGTCGCTCTGACTCGGCAACCAACAGAAAAAGGAAAGGCCACACGTCCAGCAGCCCCAGCGAGCGGTCCTTGCTGCTGCCGCCAAGGGGGGCACGCGCCCCTCCACGAGCCACGGCCCGTCTCCGCACAAAAAGGGGAAGAAGAGGAATGGGGAGGCGAACCGCACAACTGCTCGTTGCTGCCACGCACGCGAAACGAAACGGTGTCGTCTCGAGACGACACGAAGGCGGACCTCGAAATGAATGCTGGTGCCTCTTGGGGCCGTCTCGGGGCGGTCTTGGGGGTTTCTTTGGCCGTCTGGGGGCGGTCTTGGAAACCTCCTGGACTGTCTAAGAGCGCCTGAGAGTCGAACAGGCGAGAACCGCGAAACACGCTGAAAACCCGAAGGTGCCCTCGTGGGAAAACTCTTGGAGTTCTCTTGGGGCTTATTGCAAGCGTCGTGGGCCGTCTTGGGACTCCCTTGGCGGTTTGCACCGATCGTCCTGCGATTCTGGGCCCTCCTGGACAGTCTTGGCGGCCTCTTGGGGGGCCCACCCACGCGGTCCAAGAAGGCCTGGAGCGGCACCCAGAACCCCAAATTCGAATATCTGGCGATGGGAGCGACCGGGGGGAAATGTTCGTGGGGTGGCTCGATATAAGAGTACTCGACGAGGGGTGCATATGATATGTATACGCATGCGGTTTTCGTATGCGTATAGACATACTGCGCCGCTCCGAAAGTTTCCTCAATTTCGCCACCGTGCTCGCCGGGGCCATCTGGGATTGCGCGCGCAGGATGAGACTCGCGGGGTCCGAGGGCGGATGGGGGCGATGTCGCGAGGGCAGAGTCGGCGCGCGGATGGGCAGGCCGGCGCCCCGTTTGGCGGGAGGGGCCCAGTACAATGCAAGGGCAGAGCGCAACCCCTGCCCGGGGTCACGGGATCGGGTTCCCCTTCGGAACCTACAATTTTAAATCCCAAACGGTGTACGGACCCGAAAATGAGCGAACGGCATAGGACTTCCTCGAACAAAGCTTTCGGGTTCGGTCATGCGACGACCCGAAAATTTTATCGACCTATCTGAAAGTGGCCAAATCAATAGGACTCGTGCCAAACAAATTTCGGATCCAGTTCGAACGACCCGAAAATGTGCGAGCCGCCTAGGATTTTTTTGGAAAAGCATCGATCTCGACGTCTTCGGGTCCACTCCGAAGAAACCGAACATGGGCAAACCGCCTGGAACATCCGATGGCAAACGGTTTCTCGGTGGTTCCGGATCTCGTCCGAAAGAGCCGCCGATGGGCCGACCGTGCAGGACTTCCTGCACAAGAAACGGTTTCCCGGGTGAGCCACTGTCAAACGGGAACGCGCCGCTCGCGGGATCGGGGTTCGCACGGGGGCGCGGTTGCTCGCGCCTGTCCAGGAGGCGCGCGTTCCCGCGCCCTTCGAGCATCGCGTTTGCTCTGCATTCGCGCGGCGCCGTTTTTCTCAAATTGGAATAAACTTCCGGGGCGCCGATGTATATATATATATATATATATATATATATATATATATATACAAGACTGCAGTGGCGCTTCGCGCTATGCACCTTGGTCCTTGAAGTTTGGCTTGCAGGCGGAATAGCAGGAAGATCAAGCCGACAATTTAGCGATAACTCCTTGTTGCCGTTTCCGGCATCGCCGCTATGATAATGATTTTCGTTATCTTTCCTCCATGTTTCTTTTTCCTCATGTTCGCCATACCCTGCGCATTCTCCCTATCCTCCTCAGCTTTTCTTTGCGGAGGCTCCTCCTGGGAGAGCCTCTGGGGGCCTAAAACAAATTGTCTCAGGCTTTCTTAAGGCCTTCTGAAGGCCTCCTGGGCGTATTCTGGGGGCCTCTGGGGGCTTCCTCGGGCCACCCTGCCTCCAACCACGGTCTCCCTCAACGACCGGGTCACGATTTGGAATGCTTCGGAGGGTGTCTTGGGGCCATCTTGGGCCGCCATGGGGCTCTCTGAGGGCCATCTTGGACCCGTGTTGTGCCGTTTTGGGGCTCTCTTGGACTGCCTGGAAGCCCTTTCGGATGGTTGTGGGGCGATTTTGGAGCCTCCCAGGTGGCTTCGGACGCCCAGAAGACCGCCGTCTTGGAGCGTCGGGAAGCCGAAAAGAGGAGAACCCCAAAATTCACCAAAAACTAACAGAAAATCAATGATTTTTGCCTCTTGGGAGTGCTCTTGGAGGCCTCTTTGGGGCCGTCCTGGAGGCCTCTTGGGCCATCTTGAGGTCACGTCGGTCACTCTTGGAGCGCTCTTGCGCTGTCATGGGGGTCTCTGAGACGTCTCCGATGACCCCCCTGATCGCCCTAGGTCTGCTGGGAAGGCTTGGCAAAACGCCCTGCGAGGCCAGGGGGCCGCTTCGAGGCCCGTCCGGAGTGTCCCAAAGCTCCAGATCCCGGGAGTCCTTTTTTTTTTTTTTTTTCCCGGGATTTTTTGGGGGGGGGGGGGGGGATGGTTTTTTCCCCCGCCCGGGCTTATAAAAATATAGGAAGAGGAATACAAACCTATACATGCAGGTCGGTATTGATGTTCAAGAGCCTATACATACATACATACATACATAAATACATACATACATATAGACAGAACCACATGTACACAAGATTTGAGGAGCGCGCTCTGCGCGCCGAGAAATGTTGGCCCGCTGACGTGAGCACCTGCGCCAATGCGCGATTCCTATGGGAACTTCTTGGGCGTCTCTTCCCACGTGTGCGGCCCCCCTGCCGCAAGCTCCGAGGTCCTTGCAGGCCCAGGGGTCCCCGCCTGCCGCCTGGAAACTCAAGCAGGCACTCCTCACTTTTCATGCACTGGGGCCCGACCCAAACTCCATGATCCTCAGAACGTGTGTTGGCCCCAACGCGTGTTTGTCCATCGAGGCCCTGCGGTACGACGCAGGCGATGTCATATGGCATACTGGCTGGGCTGAAGGGGGTGAACACACACGCACATTGTGCCAACGCACGTCCTGGAGGATCATCGACACGTACTTTGGGGGCCGACGCTCGCAGCCCTTGGGCGTGGCCGCAGACCGCCGAAAAACCAGCTGTCTTGCGTCGCCGCAGGGCGCTCGTCTCCCGCGCAGAGTGGCCGAGGCTGGCTCGAAGAGATAAGAATCACACCGGGCCCTCCCAGTGACAGCACAGACGTGCCCCTGACACTCCACGAGTCCTCCTAGAAAGCCCAGAGCACTTTCAAGTCCCCCTCAGATGTCTGGAGACGTCTCCCAGAAGTTATGGCGCGAGTCTGGAACTCTAGGACGCTACCCTCAGAGGCCTTCGGGTAGGGCTAGGTCGGGCTACGTAGGCCTAGGTTAGGAGGACCTAGGGCAGACTTAAGGTCGGCCTATGGAGGCTAGGAGGTGGACGTCGGGTAAACGTCGGAGAGCCCACGGTAGACCCAGAGAAAGCCGAGATAGACGTGAGTAGGCCCACGGTTGCCATGGGGGAATTCTAGGGGAGCGTAGGAAGGCCCGAGGTAGACCTACGGAAGGCCTTTCCGAGCTTCTATAAGACAAAGGCGTGCCCCAGACCCTAGAAGGACCTCCAGAAGTCCTGAGCGCTGTCAGACGCTGTCAAGCTCGGCCGGTCGGTCGGTCGGTCGTTGTCGGTCGTCGTCGTGGATCGGTCGGTCTATCGATCGGTCGTTGTCGCCGGTCGGCCGGCGACTTGGCGAGTCGTTCGGTCGATCGGCCGGTTGGTCGGGCGGCCCTCGTTGCTGTCGCTCTTGGCTGTCGCCGACGCCGTCGGTCGGTCGGTCGTAACATACAAAAATGTGAAGAGAGGACCTACCGCTGCGCATGCACGAAACAAACGAGCGCAGAAACCTGCTCCTGTCTGACTCAGACAGGGGAGGATCTATCATTCGATTTGTTCTGTGAACATTGTTGCAATGTGCTTTGTTTTCTCTGTGAGCCGGCGATGGTTGCCATCGATCCGCCGCATTCATCAGCGAGCGAAAATAACTCCAAAAAAGCCATCCACGAGGCAATCCGCAGACAATCCGCGCCTAAACACTCCATCCGCGATCCCCCCAGGCCTGGCACGCGAACGACGAAATCCGCCCGGGCCGAGGCCCCCAAAGGATAAGTTCTTATATAGGGCGAGGAAGGGGGAGGATGGGGAGGAGCCGCCCACCCGGAAACAGCATGGTCCTGGAATTTTGCCAGGCCGACTTCGTCTAGACTTTTTTCCCTCGGCCAGTCGCGGTCCGTTGGTCGGACGGTCGGCCGGTCGGTGGGTCGTCGTCGTCGATCGTCGCCTTTGTCGTCGGTCGGCCGAGCGGTCGGTCGCCGTCGTGGGTCGGTCGGTCGTCGTCGTCGGTCGTCGTCGTCGGTCGGCCAGGCGGTCGATCGGTGGCGTTGTCATCGGTCGGCTGGCGACTCGGCGAGTCGGTCGGTCGATCGGTCGGTTGGTCGGGCTGTCCTCGTCGTCGTCGGACGTTCTTGGTTGTCGTCGATTATGTGAACCATTTCGGGGCCCTGTTGAGCTGTCTTGGGTTTATCTTGGGCCGTCGTGGTGCCATATTGAAGGTTTTGGGCCGACTTAGGCCGTCGTCGGGCGATGTTGTGCGCTCTTGGGGTCCTGCTCGCCTTGAGCTGTCGTTGGGTTCTTCTGGGCCGTCATGGGGTTCGTCGGGGGCCGCCTGGGCGGTCTTAGGGCGGCCTCGGAAAGTGGCATGGCTTGGGCCTCTTGGTGCCCTCTTGGGAGTCCTCTACATGCGGATTTACACGACTATATGCTATATGCAGGCAGTGATGGAGTGCACGCGTAGTTTGCCATCCACCCATCTATACATGCATCGATGTTCCTCAATGCTACGACATGTAAGTATACTGCATGTGCTTCGTAGGATTCAGTGAATCACTGACTCATTCTAGTGCCGATTGGATGATCAGTCTGCCAGTGAGATATTCAGCCAGGCAGCCCCCCCCACACACACGCACATACACACACGCACGCATGCACGCACACACACAACCACACACACAACCACACACACACACGCGCGCACGCGCACGCGCACGCGCACACGCACGCGCACGCGCGCGCACGCGCGCACGCACGCACGCACGCATGTACGCACCCACGCACACACAAACACACACGCACACAAACACACACAAACACACACAAACACACACGCAAACACACACAAACATTTACATTCACATTCACATGCACATGCACATGTACATGCACATGCACATTCACATTCGCATTCGCATTCGCAATCGCATTCGCATTCGCATTCACACACACACGCACTTCTGCAAGGCTGCATGCGTAGGCGCTCCGTGCCAGGCAACTCCCCCCTCAACGTTTCGGGGCGACAGGGAAGGGCAGGGACGGGGGACCCGTGCACGCGAGGACGGCCTCTCGCCCGCGGGCCCGCGAGAGCGGAGGCCAAGCTGGGGCGACGTGCCGAGCCCAACCGGTGCAGCACTGCTCGACGAGATCCCGCCGCGAGGCTCGGGCCCCCTCCCGCCTCTTGCGGGGTGCACGCCCGCGCGGGCGGTCGGCCCGCTTCCTTTGCCTCCTCCTCCCTCTCGACCTCCCCTCCTCTCTTCTGCTGGCCCTCCGCCCTATAATTGCGTGGGTTCCTCCCCTTCTTGGTGTTCCTGCTCCTCCTGGTTTCTCCGTTTCATCGTCCCCTTCTTGCTCTTCCATGTCTTCTTCCTCTTGCTCCTTCTTGTCCGCTGCCTGCATCCCCCTCTTTTCGCCTTCTCCTCCCTCCTCGGGTCATCATGGGGCGCTCTGGGCCATCTCGGGGCTGTCTTGGATGGTCTCCCAGGAGGGTGTCTTGCAGCATCGTTGGTGCATCTTGCGCTTAATCTGGACCTTCTTCCTCCTCCGCCTCCTTCCTACTCCCTGTGCGCGTTGGCCAGACTCTGAGCGTCGGGTCTCGCAGCGTTCCCCTCCTCCTCCTCCTCCTCCTCCTCCTCCTCCTCTTTCTCCTCCTCATCCCTCCTCCCTCCTCGCTCCTCGCGGCGCGACCCCCCCGACCCAGGCGCGACCCACCGCTCGCGGCGGGCCACCCCCGAGGAGGAAGGGGTGCGCCGGCCGGCGCCTGTAGACTGCCTTACCTTGGAGGCGGAACGCGCCCCACAGGAAAAGGTAGTGGACCAGCCCGAGCCAGAGCCAGAGCCGGAGCGCGCCCCCTCTGCACAGACGCCGTCCCTGGGCCCCTCCGGGCCCGCGGACTTCGCCTTCCTGGCAGTGCCGCGCCGCCCGCGGCCGCAGCGCGTCGCGCGGGTCCAGTTCGCAGGAGCAGCGGCGGCGCCCCGCGCCCTCCTCCTCCTCCTCCTCCTCTCCTCCTCCTCCTCCTCCTCCTCCTCCCTCCCCCTCCTCCCTCCCTGCCTCCCTCCTCCCTCCTCCCTCCCTCCCTCCTCCCCTCCGCCATCCTTCGCCCTGCCTGCTCCCACCAGCACTCGCCCCCCCTCCCCCCCCCGCCGGCACCTCGCCCGGCCGCCCGCCCGGCGCCTGCTCCCGCAGGGTCCCCTCGAAGAGGTAGGGCCTCTGCGCGAGGAAGAAGACGTTCCGCGGCCCCGGCCTCTCGGGGGCCCCCGGGCCCCCCATAGGAGCCAGGAGAGGATCGCGACGGGAGGCGTCTCGCCATCTTCGAGGATCTTCGATGATCCTCCGGGCGTGCGTCAGCGCCAACGTGTGTCTGTCCACCGAGGCCCTTCAGTACGACGTGGGCGGCGCAACGAGGGCCGACATAGGCTGCGCGCTATCGGTGGAACCGAGCGGGATAAACACACGCTTGGGCTAGTACACGCCCTATTGATCATCGACATCTTCAGCCTCTGGGAGCTCTCACCGGGCCCCGGGGCCGGCAAACAGCTGGTCGGGACGACAAGCCGATAACCAGGGAAAGGGTCGTGGCCTCTGGGGGTCAAGGGGGGCCTGCGTTAGAGTACCATGTGAGACCTGCTCTAGAACAGGAGCATACCGTAGACGGATCTACCCTTTCTCCGACCTTGCACCGCGCCGAACGCCACGGCGACGTTATCCATAGACGTATCCACCCCGAAGATGTCTATGGACGTCACGGCACCCAGTGCGTCCATAGACGCTCTTGGCTAGGACGTGAGAGCGGTAGTTGGCATCGGCCCCAGATGCTGGTCTTCTAGAAGCAGGTCGGCTTGGCCCTCCATGGCCTGCGCACCCTCAGACCCCAGGTGCCGCGGAGGGGCCACCCCAGCGACCCTCGTGGATCGGCCCTGCTCGAGGAGCGCCACAGGGATGCGGCGTCGAGGGCTCTGGTGGTGCGCTTCCTGCTGCCTCGCGCGGCTCTTCCGCGGCGTGGAGGTCTGCAGGCAGTGGTGCGCTCCTCTCCTTCCTGCTGCCCCCGTCCTCCTCGATCCCCCGTGCGGGGAGCGCGTGGGGAGGAGGGAGAACGCGGGGGACCTGGAGAGGACTTCTTTCTCCCGCTCGAGCAGCCGCCAAGGAAGGAAGGCCAGTGCAGCGGGTGAGCGGCCAGTCGGCTGCACGCAGGGGTGGCCCTTGGCAGGAGTGACCTCTGGTGCGCGGCTCTGGGGTGCCGCGGGGGGGAGGTGGCAGCCCAGGCGCGCAGGCCAGTGCTGGGGGGGCCTCTGTGGGCCCGCACCAGGGAGGTCGCTCCGGCGCAGGGGCACTGCTGCGCGTCTTCAGCCGAGCCAGCCGGGGCCGTGCGGGGCCCCAGGGGGAGGCGCGCTCAGCCCGCCAGCGCGCCACTTGCGAGATCCATGTTCAGCAGCTTGTCGCGGCACGCCCGGAGCTCGCCAGCCAGCGTCGCCGCCTCCGCCTCGCCCCACGGTGCGGCGTGCAGGGGCTCGGCGTCGTCCGACTCGCGGAATCCGAGGTGCACCCACAGGCGCGGGAACTCGGTCCGGAGACGGCGGGCGGTGCCGCTGCCAGGGGCCAGCACGCGGCGCGCGACGGGCCTGTGGGCGGCAAGCACCAGGGTGTGTGGCCATCCGAGAAGGCAGCGGGCTCCTTGGAGTCCCCTCCACTTTCCGAGAGAGGCCTTCTTGGAAGCTCCGCCATCTGAGACGAAGCCAGGATGAAGATAAATCGAGACTCTCTGAGATCCGGCGGCTCTGGAGGATGTCTTGGGCGCCACGGCTTTCTCAGAGCGCTCCAGAACGCTCTGAGAGCGCTCTGGAACGCTCTGGAACGGATCTATCCTCGCCCCAGCCCCGTCCGACCATCCCCCCTCCTGAGAGCCACCTCTCGCCCTCCCAAGAGGCACCCTCCCTGCTCGCCTCCCCTTCCCCCTTGTGCGCGCCGCCGCCCAGCCTGAGCGCTGGCCCGACGATGGACAGCAGCAGGCTGGCCAGCCGGTCGTGCAGCTCCGACCCGGGCTCCCTGGGGCAGCTGCGCACCGCCAGCAGCACCACCCACAGCAGCTCCTCCGCCAGCGCCCGCAGCGCCCCCACCGCGGCCGGCGCCTCCGCGGGCGAGGCCTTGGGCGAGCGGCGCCCCGCCGACGCCGGGCGCGCCCGCGCCGCCGCCGCCGCTGCGGCGGCCTGGCTGGCCTGCATGGCGGCCAGCAGCGCCCTGGCCTGCCGCACGTCCTCCGGCGCCTGCGCGCTGGCGCGCGCCGCCAGGGCGCGCCGGGCCTCCTCCGCCGCGGGGTCCTCCGCGCAGCCGGGCGCGGGCTCCTCGTGCCCGCGCGGCCGCGGCTGCGCCAGCCCGGCGCACGCGCGCCGCTGCTCGAGCGCGCTGCGTGCGGGCCGCGGCGGGTCGGGCTCCACCTCGGCATGCGGCGAGTGGCCCAGGACCCCCGCGGGTGGTGAGCAGAATCGCGGCAAGAGGCTTGTCGCTCATTTCGGCCTATTGGGGCCCTTGCGGGGCCTCGGGACCGTCGAACAGCGGCTCGGGATGAAGACCCGTCCTGGGGAAGTGGTCGAGAGGTCGGAGGCCCGTGTCTCGAGAACATCGGGACGTCGGAAATCAGGGGCTGCACGCAGGGAGTGACCCGATGGGAAAGAGTGACCTTCACACTGCGCGGCCTGCTGGCCGTTGCGCGCGATGTGACAACAGAGCGGCCTGCGTGCCTGAGCCGCCGCTGAGCTGGCCCTTCTTCGATCCCATCGGCCCGATTGGCTCGGCTAGGTACGCGTCACGGTGGCCCTTCGCCAGAGTGACCTTCTCATGTTTGTTGTCTTTTGTTGGGGACCAGGAAAGGCAACAAGATGCAGCTTGGATGAAGAACGCTACCAGCTTTACAACTGATGGCAACTGATGGGAAAGGGTCTCCACCATGCAGGACATGTCCAGATAGGAGGGGTAATTGGAGGGCAGCCAAGAAGGAAATTCGCTGGCCTAACGGGTCAGAGGCGTGCTAAGATCTCCGGTATCAGGTTTACAATATTTCTAGTTCGCGTGCGCGTGGCGGCCCCGGGGGACCTCGGGACGAAAAGTACCCTGGCCGATGCCCATTCGATGACCGGCTGATTTCACCAGGGCGCTCCAGGAGCGCGCCAAGAGGGCGCCGGGACGCCTCCTACACGGCACAAGAGCCCCCGAGTCGCCGAAAGATCGCTCCAACACGCTCAAGATGGTCTCCAGATGGCACCAGAGGCCGCGAAAAACCCTCAAGAGAGCCTCAAGAGGCTCTCCAATAGGGCCCCAACAAGCAAAAATAGTCCCATTCCCTGCGGAAAACGTGCATTTGTCGCATATGCGACGTTTGGGGGTTCATAGCGTCCAGAACTGCCCCAGAGGCCTCCAACATCGTCCCCAGACAGCCCAACACGCCCCCAAGATGTGCCCAAGAGAGCCCAAGAGGGCCCAAGAGGGCCCCAAGACGGCCCAAGACAGCCCCAAGAGGGGCCCAAGAGGGGGGAACCCGAAATTACACCTCAATCTTTCCGCACGAACCTGGAAAGGAATATAGAAATGTTAGGCATGGCAGCGTTTTCAGAACACCTGATTGGGCGACGGACAAATGCAATGCTGAGTGTACCGTTCTTGATGTACTGTGCCAAAAGCTGTGCTGTGATGCGCCGTGCTGTATTTCGATGTACCATACCGCGATTGTGCTCTATAGCGTTGTGGATCGAGTCCTCCTATGCATCCGAGTCCTTACCGAACTGATCTGGATCTGACGCTCGAGCTGCCTGAGCACATAGTAGCTGCCCCAGAGCTAATTGACAAAGGGACATGCCAGGGGGACGCGCCGCGCAACGTCCCAAGGGACGCGCCAGGGGACGTGCCAAAGGATGTGCCATGGTGACGCAACGCGGGACGTGCCCAGGGGACGCGCTACGGAACGTGCCAGTGGACGTGCCACGGGACGTGCCAGGGGACGCGCTGCGCGACGTGCCAAGGGGACTCGCCACGGGACGCGCCACGGAACGTGCCAAATTGCAATGCTGAATGTATCGATCTTGATGTACCGTGGCGAGGGCTGTGCTGTGCTGCGCCGTACTGAATTGCGATGTGCCATGCTGCGGTTGTGCTCTATAGTGTTGTGGATCGGGTCCTCCTGTGCATCCGAGCCTTTACCGAACTGATCTGGATCTGAAGCTCGAGCTGTCTGAGCACATAGTAGCTGCCCCAGAACTAATTGACAGGGGGACATGCCAGGAGGATGTGCCGCGCAACGTCCCAAGGGACGCGCCAGGGGACGTGTCATGGCGATGCAACGCGGGACATGCCAAGGGGACGCGCTACGGAACGTGCCAATGGACGTGCCAGTGGACGTGCCATGGAACCCAAGGTTTTCAGGCTTGCCCCGCACTGGGGCGTTAGGAACGCACATGTTTTCACGTATCTCCCGCCTTGGGGCGTTCGGAACCCATGTGTTTTCACGGGTCTCCCGCCCTGGGGCGTTAGGAACCCATGTGTTTTCGCGCTTGCTCCGCCCTGGGGCGTTAGGAACTAGTGTGTTTTCATGCTTCTCGAGCCTCCTAGGGCCTCCTGGGGGGCGGGGGGGGGAGCGAAAAGCACTCCCCGAACACAGACCCAACCCAGAGAAATGCATCCTGGGACCTCCTGGGGCCTCCTGGGGGCGGAGGGGGGGGGTCGAAAAGCGCATACCGAACAGATATCCCGATACAGAACAGTGCTTCCTGGGCCTCGTAAGGCTTCCTGGGGCCTCCTGGGGCCTCCTGGGGCCACCTGGGGCGTTAGGCACAAATATGTTTTTGCGCTTCTCCCGCCCTGGGGCGTTGGGAACCCATGTGTTTTCACGCTTCTCGAGCCTCCTGGGGCTTCCTGGGGGGCGGGGGGGAAGCGACAAGTGCTCCCCGAATACATGTCCAAACACATAACATACGTAACGCAAGCATTTCACCTGAGACATTCTCTGAAATCGGGTCCCCAGGAGAGAAATAATCATCTATAACACAAAACAAACATTTCGCTCGAGATATCCTCAACAAATTCTTAACAACATGCGTTTCGCTCAGGACATCCTCAGGCATAAAACAACATATCACACAAAACAAGCGTTTCGCTCGGGACATCCTCAACACATTCTGACAACTAAGCGTTTCGCTTGGGACATCCTCAACAACAATTTCGCTGGCCCTACGCGACCTCGTTATTCATCGTAAATAGTTTCGCCGGCCCTACAGCCGTCGATTCCGGGGGTAAGCCTCTAAAAGAGAACCCTGGGCAGGCGCCCTTCCTGGGACAAATTTTGAGTAGTCCAAACTCATCCCCAACGTAGAAAATCGTCCCCAGACAATTTTTTGACTATTTTTGAATTTTCCTCCTGTAGAGGGACATGCCCGACTTAAGGCGCGCTGTCCACTCGCAGTGGATAGCGTGTCGCCAGGGCCGCCCGCCGCCCCACGTCGAGCACGAGCTCCTGAGCCAGCCCGGCTGCGTGTAACAGTGACCCTGGACAAAAGTGACCTCGGGTGCGCGGCTTTCGATTCACGGGCGAAGAGCAGTATCAAATCAACTTTTTCGCTGTCGGGGGCGCCTGTCCCAGGGCGGCTGGAAAGTTTATACCCTTACGGTGGCACGTCGGGGCCAGCCGGCGCTTGGGGGGACCCCTGTGAGGCAGCACCAGAGGTCACTCGGGCGAAGGGTCACTCTCACGTGCAGTCGGTCTACAGTGGGACCGCTGTCAAACAGGAGCCCTAAATAAGGAACGGGGCCCCTTTGCTTGTCCATAAGATCAACTTCAATGTCCCACAGAAAACCCACAAGAGACACCTAAGGCACACTGTAAAACAATGGAAAAACGCTGGGCCCCTCCCCAACGAAATGGGTTCCTTCTTCAGCGGCCTGACTGAATCTGTCTAGGCCTCCCAGACGGGGTCGGCGTAGATGGATGGGGTCGGAGGATCGCGCCGCGTCGCCGATACATCGGCGATGCATCGGCGATGCACCGGCGATGCGTCGTCGTTGTCGGCGATGCATCGGCGACGTCGACTTGAAGCAACTCGGGCTCCGCAGCGAGCCTCATCGCCGATGCATTGGCGATGCATCGGCCCCATCTGCTCGGACCCCATCTGGGAGGCCTAGAGCCCCTCCCTCCTCCGAACTCCTGGTCCCCATCCCCGGCACCGCCTTTTCGTCTGGAGGCCGAAGATAGCGAAAAACCTCCCGAGGAGAAGGAGGAGGAGGAGGAGGAGGAGGAGGAGGAGGAGGAGGAGGAGGAGGAGGAGGAGGAGGAGGAGGAGGAGGGAGGAGGAGGGAGGAGGAGGAAAGAGGAGGAGAGGAGGAAACGGAGGGGGAAGGAGGAAGGAGGAGGAGGAGGAGGAGGAGGAGGAGGAGGAGAGGAGGAGGAGGAGGAGGAGGAGGAGGAGGAGGAGGAGAAGGAGGAGGAGGAGGAGGAGGAGGAGGAGGAGGAGGAGGAGGAGAGGAGGAGGGAGGAGGAGGAGGAGGAGGAGGAGGAGGAGGAGGAGGAGGAGGAGGAGGAGAGGAGGAGGAGGAGGAGGAGGAGGAGGAGGGAGGAGGAGGAGGAGGAGGAGGAGGAGGAGGAGGAGGAGGAGGAGGAGGACGAGGAGGAGGAGGAGGAGGAGGAGGGAGGAGGAGGAGGAGGAGGAGGAGGAGGGAGGAGGAGGAGGAGGAGGAGGAGGAGGAGGAGGAGGAGGAGGAGGAGGAGGAGGAGGAGGAGGAGGAGGAGGAGGAGGCAGGAGGAGGAGGAGGAGGAGGAGGAGGAGGAGGAGGAGGAGGAGGAGGAGGAGGAGGAGGAGGAGGAGGAGGAGGAGGAGGAGGGAGGAGGAGGAGGCAGAGGAGGCAGAGGAGGAGGGCAGAGGAGGAGGAGGGAGGAGAGGAGGAGGAGGAGGAGGAGGAGGAGGAGGAGGAGGAGGAGGAGGAGGAGGAGGAGGAGGAGGAGAAGGAGGAGGAGGTCGAGGGGGTCTGGGCTCCGCGGCCCGACGGCACGTGCTCCGCGCGGCGGGGCCACCGCGGGGCAGAGCGCGGCGGGCCGCCGCGACAGCTCCTCGCAGCGGGCCCGCTGCTCGGCGCGGCTGCGGGCGGGGGCCGGGCCGCCGGCCTCTCCGCTCCAGAGTTAAGTCGGGCGTGTCCCCCTACAGAAAGATTTTCGACGAAAAACAAAAAATACGCCACAAATATTCCCAAATGGTCAAAAATACTAAGAAAATAGCCCCCCGACTATTTTCTGAATATATTGTGGATATTCGAACCGCGGCCCGCCGAGAGGGCGGGGGGGGGGGGCCCGCCGATCGCGAAGCTCCGCGGGAGGGAGGGCGGGAGGCCTGTGTCGAGTCACCCAGACCGCCCCCCCCCCCCCCCCCCAGACCAGACCCCCCCCCCCCTGTGTCTGGGAGGGTCTGCCAGACCACCCCCCACCCAGACCCCCTCTCGAGTCATGAGCAAAAGTCGCGACGGGAAGTTTTTCATAGTTGTCGGCCTCTGGGGGCCCTTTACCCGGCCTCGGGACCGTCAAACAACGACTCGGGATGAAACACCGGTCCCGGGTAATAGGTCGAAACCTCTGGGGGTCGACGTCATGAACAAATCATGACGTCGGGGGTCTGGGAACCCAGCCCGAAGACCCGAACTTCGGGCTGGGGGGATGTGCTTTTTGTTCTCCAATGCTCCCCGACGGCCCCCCCCCACTGCGAATGGAGGGCAAATCGGGGCCTTTGGGTTGGGTTGGGGTGGTTTGGCGGTCGGTGGCTATGGGGCCGCACCACCAGGGCGTCGGGCCGTGGTGTGGCCGCCGCCCCAGCCAGGCCGCCAGATGGCAGACGCGACAAGCATTCCCGATGGGTGGTGAAGGGAAGGGGGGGCACGTGAGAGAGGCCCGCAGGCACGTGTCTGGCAGATTCCGCGGGCTCCCGGAGCCGGTTTTTCTTTAGACGCAGGCAAGTTTACTTGCATGGCGTTCGCCCTCCCTCCCCCTCCCCCCCTGTCACCCCTCTTCAATCGAATACGAGCGTTCAAGTGCCTTTCGACTTGCGTGATTTCCGCACGTCAAGCCGTTTTAAGCCTGCTTCAGGTTCAGCCTCCCCCACCGTCCATGCAAATAAACTTGCCAGAGTCTACAAATAAACGGGCTCCTGCCCAGACGTCGAGGGTCTCCACAAAACCGAGATGGACATTTTTCTTTGCTCTCAACCTCTCGAGGCCCTCACAGGGCCTCGGGGCCGTCAAAGAACGACTCGGGATGAGAAGCCGGCCCTGGGAAGTGGTCGAGAGGTCGGGGGCCCGTGCGGAGAAGGGAGGGAGGAGGAGGTAGGAGGAGGGAGGAGGGAGGAGGGAGGAGGCAGGAGGTAGGAGGTAGGAGGTAGGCGGTAGGAGGTAGGAGGGAGGGAGGGAGGGAGGGAGGGAGCGAGGAGGGATGAGGAGAGCGAGGAAGGAGGCGGAGGAGGAGGAGGAGGAGGAGGAGGCGAAGGAGGAGGAGGAGGAGGAGGAGGAGGAGGAGGAGGAGGAGGAGGAGGAGGAGGAGGCGGAGGAGGAGGAGGCGGAGGATTGGACACTTCGAGCGGACGAGGCCGAGCCTTCCAGCAGCGCAGGTTGCAGGGAAGAGGCTGCACCGCCCAGCGGCGCAAGGCTCCCCACCAACCAGCATGCCAGAAAGCCCAACCTCCGAGAGAGACGATGCCATCCCAACGGCCTAACAGCGCTGCGTGGCGAACCGGGCGCGCCGCGCGCACGCCCGGCACTGCTCACTGCCAAGCTGCCGCGCTCTGCGGCAGTCGCTGCATGCAGGAGGCTCTTCACGAACACTCCCGCGGCCCCCTCACGACCACCACCACCGCGAAGATTCCAGCCCGCATGCCTGTCCGCCCGCACAGCTGCGGCGTGGGCTGCATCCGGGCGACGGCCATGCGCAGGAGACGGCTGCGAAGGTGCAGCAGGAGTACCGGTACCTCCTTCGACAGCGCTTGAATCAGCAGGAGGCCCGTTTCCAACAACGAGGTCATCACCAACGGCTTCCTGAACTTCTTCCGTATGCGGGGAGCCGCGATCACCGACATCTGCAGGATGGCGATCCTCAGCGAGAGGACCACCAACATCGGAAGGGCTATACTTCAGTGATAGGCCCCAGGGTGAAGACATTCGCAACTGGATTGAAGCAGAATTCCTGTCCAACTCCAGCTTGATCAGCGGCACGCTCATGCACAATCTCAGCATGAAGATCAGGGGCAGCGTGGGCCGCACGCTCGATACACCCAACACGCAACGCTGCCTCCAGCGCGGCGCCCACTCGCGTGGGCTTGCAGCCGCGTGGGCTTGCAGCCGCGATGCCCAAGGCTGCCGAAAGCCTGCAAGAGCGCTTGGGCAGCCCTTGCCTCGGCCCTGGCTGCCTGGCCCCCCGCGCTCCGCCGCCGTGCCGCGCGGCCGCGAGGCGCGCCATGGCGGCTGAACGGGACGGCAGGGGGCCGCCGCTGGCGCTGGCTCGCGGGCCGGCCCAAGCCGGCTCGATCTGAGCTTGCGCTGGGAGGAGGCGGAGGAGGCGGAGGCGGAGGCGGAGGCGGAGGAGGAGGAGGAGGAGGAGGAGGAGGAGGAGGAGGAGGAGGAGGAGGAGGAGGAGGAATGCGACGACGGGGCAGAGGCGCCGGGCGACGCACCCTGCTCGTGGGGGCCCACGAGGAGGGGAGGGAGGAGGGCAGAGGGAGCGAGGAGGGAGGGAGGAGGGAGGGAGGGATGAGGGAGGGGGAGGGAGGTTGCAGGGAGGAGAGAGTGCGGAGGGAGGGGGGAGGGAGGGCGGAGGGAGGGAGGGATGAGGGAGGAAGGGGGAGGCGGGCTCAAGCGCGTGGCTCTGCATGAGCAGCCCATTGCATGCACCAAAAAGTGTTCAGTGATATCGATGGAGCTCTAGCCACACGTAGTAAACATCAGCACAGGTATTGCAATCAACGGAGTTTGGATTAGCGATACTTGCATTCAGGGAGAGGGAGGAGGGAGGGGGAGGGAGGGCGGAGGGAGAGGAGGGAGGGACGGACGGAGCCTGGGAGGTAGGGAGGCAAGGAAGAGGACGACGACGACGACGGGGCAGAGGCGCCGGGCGACCTTGTTGCAGTCGTCGCCGTCGTCGTCGTCGTCGTCGTCGACGTCGTTCTTGCCGTCGTTCTTGTCGTCGTTCTTGCCGTTCTCGTCGTCGTCGTTCTCGTCGTCGTCGTCGTCGTCGTCGTCGTCGTCGTCGTCGTCGTCGTCGTCGTCGTCCTCGGCGTCGGCATCGGCGTCGGCGTCGGCGTCGGCGTCGGCGTCGGCGTCGGAGTCGGCGTCGGCGTCGTCGTCGTCAGCGTCGGCGTCGTCGTCGTGGGCCTCCGCCGGCGAGGCGGGGGCCGGGGGCGGCCGCGGGCGCGCCAGCGCCGCGCAGAGGGCGCCCTGCGACCGCAGGGCGGCGGCCTCTGCCTCCGCCTCGGCCGCGGCCGCGGCCGCGGCCGCCTCCGGGAGGGGAGAAGAGCGGCACGGGCAGAAGCCTGCGGAGGCCCGCGCGGGCTCCTCGCCCTGAGGTCCAGGAGGGCGGGGGAGGGGATGCTCAGGAGCAGTCCCGAGGATGAGGTGGGGGAGGAGGAGGAGGAGGAGGAGGAGGAGGAGGAGGAGGAGGAGGCGGAGGAGGAGGAGGAGGAGGAGGGAGGAGGAGGAGGAGGAGGTGGAGGAGGCGGAGGAGGAGAGGAGGAGGAGGAGAGGAGGAGGAGGGGAGGAGGAGGAGGCGGAGGAGGAGGAGGGGGAGGAGCATAAGCATGCTCTTCATGCTTATGCTCCCCCTGCTGCTCATGCAAATGCTTCCCCTCCTTCTTCTTCTTTGCCTCTTCATCATTCTCCTCGTCCCTCTACTGGGCGCCCTCCTCGTCTTGCTCCTGCTCCTCGTCCTCCTCCTCCTCCTCCCCCACCTCATCCTTGGGACTGTTCTTAAGAGGCTCCAATCCACCTAGATCTTTCCTCACAAGTCTACCTGGCTCGAGCAATGCCGCAAGAAGATGGAGTCTGGGCCTCCGGTCGCGACTTCCCCGCGATGCAGCAATTGTTTCGCAACGTCGGATCTCAGGGTGGATCGGCGCTAGGCCCCCCGCCTTGGCGCACGGAGCGCGCCAGGGACGGCGCCAAATGGCGCCGCCGGGGGTGGCCAACGCCGATCCCAGAAATCCTCGCGGGACTCGGACAGTTTACGCTTGTGCCAGTAGACAATCGCGTTCCACTACTCGCGAAGTAACTGCTCGCAAATGGCCTGGATCCGCCGCGGGGGATTGACGAAACATTACATATAGGAGTACCTGCTTTTGTTCGGACGTGTGCGAATAGGCACTTTGCGACTAACGGAACGCGCTCAGTGAGCCGTTTTTTGTTCTTCGAGCCTCCAGGCCCTCTGCGGGGTCGAGGCGGTCTTGGACCATCAGCAGTGTTGCCTCCACGAACCGCTGCCGCTTCGGCACCGCGAGGCTGCTGCAGCGCTGCCGCTGCTGGTACTCCCTCTCGAAGCGCCCCCTCCACTCGTCGTAGTCGAAGCTGCTCGCCTGGGCTAGGGCGACGAAATCTGCACATATCCACTGCTCCCTGGCCAGGCCCATCCTGAACCCAGCAGCGGTGTATACGCCACGCCCTCTCGGCTCGGCCAGGAGGGCTTATACACAGCTCCTGGGTTCAGGATGGGCCTGGTCAGGAGCAGTGGAGATCTCTATAGATCTCGTCGCCCTGTGGGCGGCCGCCGCCCTGGTGGAGGAGCAGCTGCTGCTGCTCGCGAGCTTGCCCTTGGGGTAGCCCGCCCCGCCAGCTGGCGAGGCCCCGAGCACCCCGGACGCCGGGGACGCAGAGCGGAGCTGGCCCCGGGCGCCCACCCGGACCTTGGCACGCCCGAAGCGGGTGAGGGCAAGAGCGGGTGCGATGCCCAACAGCGAGCCTGGACCCGCTGAGGTATGCAACAATCACGACAAGAATGTTCCTGCTATTGTCGGCCTCTGGGGGGGGCCCTTACTGGGCCTCGCGACCGCCAAAAAACGACCCAGGATGAAACACCGGTCCCGGGGAATGGGTCGAGACCTCGCGGGTCGACGTTGCGAACAAATCATGATGTTGGAGGTCTGGGATCGTCGTCCAAAACCGATAGCGGCCGCTGCTGACGAAGCGCCTGTTCTTTGCTCAGACGGACAGCGCCCGCGGCGACGCCGACAGCGAATCCTGCTCAAGATGGGTAGGAACTTCTGTCTCGGAGGAAGACGAGTGGAGACAACGGCAACTCAAACTCGGTCCCCAGACCACTGCCGGGGTCCAAGCGCAACAATTTTCCGAGCTGCATCCTGCTGTTGCGACAAGGGGGCGCTCCGAAATCCAACTACCCTCCCTTGAGACCCGACGACGCGACAAATCGCAACGTCGTTCGAGCCGGATCGATCTGTGAAGGTCCTGGGGCTCGAACTTCTGCGAAAACGCCAGTCTCGAAAAAGTCGCGACGCCAAGACCTCAGGATTGTCTCAACTCGCCCTCCCATTACCAGAGGCCTCCTGTATGGGGTCGGAGTAGATGGGGTCGGAGGATCGCGCCGCACCGCCGATGCATCGGCGATGCATCGGCGATGCATCGGCGATGCACCGGCGATGCGTCGTCGACGCCGGCGATGCCTCAGCGACGCATCGGCGATGTGGCGCGACCCTTCGACCCCATCTGCTCCGACCCCATCTAGGAGGCCCAGAATTACTGTCGGCCTTCATTCCATAGGCAAGCGCGTTCCACTTCTCGCAAAGTCACAAATCGCAAATGGCCTGGATCCGCCGTGGGGGATTTAGGATCTGTCACATCGAGGCGAACGTGGGCTCTTTCGGACGCTTGCGAGCAGGCACCCTGCGAGCAGTGGAGCACGCTCGGTGACCCCCGCCCTGTGCGTGCCCGCTTCGACCGCTCCGAGAGCCCGGAAGTCCCGCTCGGAGGCGCTGTGCCGGAGCCCGCCGGGGCGAGGGCGCGTCTGGGCCTCGGCCACCGTCCAGCCGGCCTCGGCGCTGAACATGGCCGCCCGCGGGGCCGCCCGCGGTGGCCGGGCTGCCAGGGCGGCGGGGCCGCGCTGCAGCCGAGGCGGCTGCGGCAGAGCAGAGAGGCTGGCGTGTGGGGTGATGGTGATGGTGATGGTGGTTTCTGGTGGTGATGATGATGATCATGATGGTGATGATGGTGATGATGGTGATGCTGATGGTGATGGTGATGCTGATGCTGATGCTGATGCTGATGCTGATGATGATGATGATGATGATGATGATGATGATGATGATGATGATGATGATGATGATGATGATTACGACTATGATGATGCTGACGATGATGATGGTGCTGTTGTTGTTGTCGTTGCTGTTGCTGTTGCTGTTGTTGTTGTTGTTGTTGTTGTTGTTGTTGTTCTTGGTTGTGTTGGTGATGATAATCTTGATGCTGATGGTGATGGTGATGGTGGTGATGCCCCTCCCCTGGCGAAGGCTGGGGACGACGGGTGGCACAAATGGTGCCAAAATGCTCACCAGACCGACCCGCTGCCGCAACGACACCGATGGAGGCCAACGAATGAGAAATCATGGGGGCAAGCAGAAGAGAGAGAGAGAGAGAGAGAGAGAGAGAGAGAGAGAGAAAAAAAAAAAAACATGTACCGATACCGCTACCCTTCTCGTTTTCCCCTTCTGGGGGCCATCGTCGTAAACGCTGGATTTGCCTCGAAAGTTTGGTCAGAACGCACTCCAAGGGAAGGCAAAGGAGGACTGCCCACCAAGCCACCTCAACCCAACCCGAAATCGCCGTTGGGCCTGCCAATTTCCAACGTGGGGGGCGGTCTGGAACGTGAAGAAAGCTCAATGCAACCCGTGCGCACCCCCAATTCCTCGAAATTGCGAGGGTCTGGGACTTTCGGGTTGGGCTGGGGTAGTTTGGTGAGCGGTGAGAGGAGGAAGCGGAAGAGCAATTGGAACAACAGAACTTGCCAACAATACCAAAGGTGCACGCAAACTGACACACCTGAAGACGGCAACATGGCTGGAAGCTTGCTTGGCCATCGACCTTCATGGCTGGAAGCTTGCTTGGCCATCTCCTCTATTAGGCTAGCTTCCTAACAGCAATAGCCCGAAGTAGATAGGAAATCACAATGTTCATGCAATGATCATGTGCGAACAGCTTAATACCATACTTCTAACATTGCGGGGGATGGTATCACGCACCCACATTCCATTCAAACATATCGTGGCATACTAGGGCAACCAGCTGCACGGGCCAATGAACTCTGTTGTAAGGTGGAAGACCCGCTAATGCAAACCACAGCTTGCAAATCAGAGAAAACTACAGTGTGCGTCGACAACAACACCAGCGTCACTGGCGAAATCCGCGTGGGCAACGACGGTGTGGTAGCCATCAACGAGAACACGAACATTGGGTCCTACACTGGCATCATCCGCACCACGCGCGTGTGCGGAACTTCGCAACGACGATGCTCAGCGTGACCACCCAGGGCCTGTCGCACTTGTCCAAGGACAACGGCCATGCTCTTCAACGAAACGCCCTTGAGATGGCAGATTCGAAACGAGTCGTACACACACCACCCGGCAAGCTGCGAAGGCTTCCAAATCATCCTGCGTTGTCTCAATCGTTTGATACCTGCCGATCTTAGCAGAAGAAAGCAGCAAATCCTGCTGAGTGCGCATGCAGTAAGTCCAGTCTGGAGTTGAGGCCACGGCAGTATGGGTAGTTTCGCGGCTGGGAGTCTCAAGGTCGGAAGGCATCTCGAACCAGAAATGCTTGAGCCAAAACGTGAGGATTGAGGCAGAGTCCCAACACGCCAGATCCAACAATTAGCGAAGGGAGTGCAACCTCGATAATATTTAACAACGACGCCACAGCATAAAGGACACCGGCATTCTAAGCTCAAAATAATGTGGTTGGACTCGAGACTGCTCCCCACTTGTTCACCCTCCTGGTGCTCCGCTTGCTGACCAGATTGTATTACACGCATCGATCTCGTGTGATTTATCGTATGCCCGAGTCGATCCGTGTTTCATTGTTAATGACGGCGCGTATCAAATCCGCATGATAGTTTCAAGTCTAATTTTAGCCCGGTGCAGGTCCGAATACATACGCACCACTTTGAAGTTTCAGTGACGCTTCATCGGGCGCGTCTGCAATGTAAATATCTTCATACCGGGACAACTTCAAAACAACATCAGCTCAACACCGGCCCACATGAAGATTCTTGCAATCCCACTTCGCCAGCAAAGCAATTTCACAGCCGATCCCGATGCAACTTGGAAGCGTTCCGAACGCTACGGCCTCGCAGCCTTCTTTTGGGTCCGCGACCTCACGTGGAGATCCTCCGCGGAGGGAGCTGAGGCCAGGCCGCGGTCGAAGCGCGCTGCGACCTCACCGCCCCGCGGCGTCGCGGCCGCTGCGAGGCGTCGGGACGCGGCCGCGTTCAAGTCATCTGACACTTTGTTGTGTGTGTGTGTGTGTGATTTCTTCCCCCTTTACCCTCCTCCTCCTCCTCCGTCCTCCTTCCCTCCCTCTCCCCCTACTCCTAGTCATCTGCCCCCCCCCCCCCCCCCCTCCCCCGTAGGACCTTCTGAACTTCTAAGCCAAACTAGAACCAAGCTGTCCTCCTCCTTCCCCGTGTAAGCCGCCCCTGGGGCACGTGACAACAATGTATTTCCTGTCTCTCCCGGCTGCGCGCTCGGAGAGGGGCAAGGAGGATATCGGTAGCGGCTGAAGGATGAAGGGGCGAGGGAGGTGACAGGCACCTTCCACCACCGCCCCAGCCCGCCCTACGTATGCGGCGAGGGAGGGATGATGATGCCACAATGCTGGTGGCGAATATCCGAGGGGGATGCAGCTGCGGCTGGAGAGGGGGGGAATGAGGGAGACGCAGTTATCGTAATGGCGGGCCAGGCCGTGATGATGATGATGATGATGTTGATGATGATGATGCTGATAGCGGTGATAATGATGATGATGATGATGATGATGATGATGATGATGATGATGATGATGATGATGGTGATGATGATGGTGGTGGTGGTGGTGGTGATGATGATAATACTAATGATAATTATAATGATAATGATGATGCTGCTGCTGCTGATGATGATGATGATGATGGCGGTGTTGCTGATGATGATGATGATGAGGATGATGATGATGGCGGCGATGATGTTGCTGCTGCTGACGATGATGATGATGATGATGATGATGATGTTGTTGTTGTTGTTGTTGTTGTTTATGATGATGATCATGATCATGATCATGATGATGATGATGATGATGATGATGATGATGATGATGATGATGATGATGATGTTGAGGGGAGGGGGCGGAAGGAAAAGGGAGGCCAGTGGAGGATGACGGGGGAGTCAGAGGGAGAGCGAGAGAGAAAGACAGAAAGAGAGAAGGAGAGAGAGAGAGAGAGAGAGAGAGAGAGAGAGAGAGAGAGAAAAAAAAACAGAAATCGAGAGGATGACGGGAGAGATGGAGGGAGGGACGGGGGGGAGGGCGGGGGCAGGAGGAGGGATGAGGAGGAGGACGAGGAGGAGGAGGAGGTGGAAGAAGCTCGATCGATCGAACTCTCGGGCCAGTTCGGTTCTACACTACCGTACCTCGACTAGAGCATCGCAGCAGTTAAGCATCTAAGTCTGCCTAGCCGTGGTCTCTTCGATGCGGCCGCTGCTCGGCGCTCTGGCCCTACCTGCAACGTCCTCCCCCCACGCACGGGTCTGCGGGCAAGGTGGCACGGGGAGGAGAAGGGAGGAGGTTGAGCAACCGCTACGCGCCTGCTGAACTTGGCCCGGTGGTGCGAGACCCCAGGAGTTCGGAACAAGGGCCACAGCTGGCCCAGGACCCGCAGGAGCGACGACCTCAGCCACGGGGTCATCGTCGCCGTCGCCTTCGCCGTCGTGCAACTCCGCCCCCCGCCTTGTCCTTTCTCGGCTGCAGGCGCAGGGTAGGCCTGGTGGATTTCAGCGCTCTTTTTTTAGAACTCCTGCCTCCATCGCTGTCTTCGTCGTAGTCCTTCGTGTCGTCCATCTCCTCATTTTCGTTTGTCTCCTCCTCCTCCTCCTCCTCCTCTTCTTTCGTCTTCTCCTCCTCCCCCTCCTCAGCCCTCGTCTTCCTCCTCGCGGAGTGCCAGGACTTCGGGAACGCCCCCAACCGAACCAAACCCATCAAATAACCTTAGGCAATAACTTCAGGAACGCCTTCAGGACAACCCCAAAACAAAGACCGCAACGACAACGCCGACGTCCTTCTGTGCGGCGGAATCTAGACGGGTGGCATATTCCGGGAACGCCTTAAGAAACACCAAACACATGAAGTATTACAAATCGCTGGTGTTAGAACCTTTGGGAGCACCGGTTGTATCCCCCCGAAAAAACAAACGACAACCGAAGATCACATCGACAACCCGAACGTCCAAAGGGCGACCCCTCACTCTCTTTGAACACTTGTGCATGCACACATACATAATGCATACATGCGTGCATACATACTTGGTGCATGCATACATACATACATGCATACATACATACATACAGACATACATACATACAATCAGACATGCACACATACATGTATACATACATCCCTGCATACATCTATACACATACATATATATATATATGTATATATATATATGTGCATACACATACTTACATGCATGCATACATGCATGCATGTATACATGTGTGTATACATCGTTGTATGCCATGCTTTCCTGTGGGGCATTCCCACAGTTTCTGCTGCCAGGGCTTCGGGTGCGCTAAGTAAGCCCCTGTTTCCCCCAACCTTCCTGTGCCGGCTTCTCGTTCTGGGCACACTGCCGTGGCATCCAATCCTCCTCCTCCCCCTCCTCTCCTCCTGCGCTGCTCGTTCGGGGGCCGCACGCGCCCAGACGGGACCGCACTGGGTGCTTGCGACCTGCGCAGCCGTCGCCAAGCTCGCGGTCTCCCGGGAGGCCCAGCAGGGCCGGGGGCCCACGCCCACGCAGGCGGGACCTCGCTGCTCCCCGGGTGGCTGCGACCTGCGCAGCTGTCACCACTCTCGTGGGCTCCTGGGGGGGTCAAGTGG